AACCCTTAACCAAAGAACAGAAAGAAAAAAAAACATTTTAAATGAAATATCAATAACCAAATAATTCTTCCGAACGTTGGAATTTAAAACGGACTAGGCACAAGAAGGAAAAAAAAATGATGAGACTTGGTATCTTATTTATGAGTTACATATAATGGTTTCAATAATATGAGGGTGGGGGAGGAGATTTGTATTCAGCCTTTGGAGAAGGAGAATATGATGGTGGTGGTGGAGATGAGTAGACATATGGTGGTGGAGGAGATTTGTATTCAACCTTTGGAGATGGAGAGTAATATGCTGGTGGAGGTGGAGAGTTGTAAACATATGGAGGTGGAGGAGATTTGTACTCAACCTTTGGAGATGGAGAGTAATAGGCTGGTGGAGGTGGGGAATTGTAAACATACGGTGGTGGAGGAGATTTGTACTCAACCTTTGGAGAAGGAGAGTAATATGGTGGAGGTGGTGGAGAACTGTAGACATATGGTGGTGGAGGAGATTTGTAATCAACCTTGGGAGAAGGAGAATAATATGGTGGTGGGGGTGGAGAGCTGTAGACATACGGTGGCGGTGGAGATTTGTATGTGGGTTTAGGAGAAGGCGAATAGTATGGTGGTGGTGGGGAGCTGTAGACGTATGGTGGTGGTGGGGATTTGTATGTAGGCTTAGGGGAAGGTGAGTAGTATGGTGGTGGTGGAGAGCTGTAGATGTATGGTGGTGGGGGAGATTTGTATACGGGCTTAGGAGAAGGAGAATAATATGGTGGTGGTGGGGAGCTGTAGACGTATGGTGGTGGTGGGGATTTGTATGTGGGTTTAGGAGAAGGCGAGTAGTATGGTGGTGGTGGGGAACTGTAGACGTATGGTGGTGGTGGGGATTTGTATGTGGGCTTAGGAGAAGGCGAGTAATATGGTGGTGGTGGGGAGCTGTAAACATATGGTGGTGGAGGAGACTTGTATGCGGGTTTAGGGGATGGTGAATAGTATGGTGGTGGTGGGGAGCTGTAAACATATGGTGGTGGAGGAGACTTATATGTGGGTTTAGGAGCAGGTGAATAGTATAGTGGTGGTGGGGAGCTGTAAACGTATGGTGGTGGTGGAGATTTGTATGCGGGTTTAGGCGAAGGTGAGTAATAAGGTGGGGGAGGTGGAGAATGGTAAACATATGGTGTTGGAGGAGTTTTGTACTCAATCTTTGGTGAAGGAGAGTAGCATGGAGGAGGAGGTGGACAAACACATACATGTGGGTGTGGTGGAGATTTGTATACAACCTTGGGTGATGGTGAATAGTATGGGGGTGGTGGAGAGCTATAGACATATGGGGGTGGTGGAGATTTGTATGTATGTTTAGGAGAAGGAGAATAATATGGTGGAGGTGGAGAGTTATACACATATGGTGGTGGTGGAGATTTGTATGCTGGTTTGGGAGAAGGCGAGTAGTATGGTGGTGGAGGAGAGCTGTAGACATATGGTGGTGGTGGAGATTTGTATGTTGGTTTAGGAGAAGGGGAGTAATATGGTGGGGGTGGGGAGCTGTAAACGTATGGAGGTGGTGGAGATTTGTATGCAGGTTTAGGCGAAGGGGAGTAATAAGGTGGAGGAGGAGAGCTGTAGACGTACGGTGGTGGTGGAGAATTGTATGTTGGTTTGGGAGAAGGCGAGTAGTATGGTGGTGGCGGAGAGCTGTAGACGTATGGTGGTGGTGGAGATTTGTATGCTGGTTTGGGGGAAGGTGAGTAGTATGGTGGTGGAGGAGAGTTGTACACGTATGGGGGTGGTGGAGATTTATATGTGGGTTTAGGTGAGGGAGAATAATACGGTGGTGGTGGAGAATTGTACATGTATGGTGGTGGTGGAGAGCTGTAGACATAAGGAGGTGGTGGGGAGTGGTATGTGGGCTTAGGAGAAGGTGAATAATATGGAGGTGGTGGTGAGCTGTATACATAAGGAGGTGGTGGTGATTTGTATTCTACCTTAGGGGAAGGGGCATAGTATGGTGGTGGTGGAGAATTGTAAACATATGGAGGTGGTGGAGACTTATATGCAGGTTTTGGGGAAGGTGAATAGTATGGTGGTGGAGGAGAACTGTAGACATAAGGTGGTGGTGGAGATTTGTATGCTGGCTTAGGAGAAGGCGAGTAGTATGGGGGTGGTGGTGAGCTGTAGACATAAGGAGGTGGTGGTGAGCTGTAGACATAAGGAGGTGGTGGTGATTTGTATTCAACTTTAGGGGAAGGTGCGTAGTATGGTGGTGGTGGAGAATTGTATATGTAAGGTGGTGGTGGAGATTTGTATGCTGGCTTTGGAGAAGGTGAATAGTATGGTGGTGGAGGAGAATTGTAGACGTATGGAGGAGGTGGAGATTTGTAGTCCACCTTTGGAGAAGGTGAATAGTATGGAGGTGGTGGTGGAGAACTGTAGACGTAGGGAGGTGGTGGAGACTTGTAGTCAACTTTTGGTGCTGGAGAGTACGATGGTGGTGGTGGAGAGCTATATACATACGGAGGTGGTGGAGATTTATAGTCAACCTTTGGTGCAGGAGAACTGTACTCTGGCGGTGGTGGAGAGCTATACGTGTAGGGCTCATAAGAAGCAGCAACCATTGTTGCCATGATAACAAAACCAAGAGCATAAACGAGAAGGGCTGAACGCCCCATCCGGAAAGAAGATGTCATTCTTAGTTTGATTGCTTCTCCAACGCCTCAGTACGTTGGTTTTGTTATTTGTTTTGTTTTATGATACTACATTACTTGTGGATGCCTTTATATAGCCTGTGGTTTTACGAAGTTTTAATTTTTCCAGTTTGTTTTGCTTGCATTTCCTAATCATGGAAGCATGTCTGCGCCAAACTATAGTAACGTGCAAGAACGTGCATCAAATGTCAACGATCCACTTTCCCTTTTTTATTTTCTCAAGTTCGTGAAAGAAAGATGCATATCATTGTTCAATTATTTTGTCAACGACCCAATCATTTGTTTCATTTTTCCATTAACTTGTTTCAATTTGAACCAGTTTCGGATATTCGATGCCCCCATTTCTAAATATCCATATGCGATCAACTGGTGGCAGACATTCTTGTAATAATGAAACATGACGATTAGTTATCGATGATGAACTTCATCTGATGGTGACACAAACGAACACGAACACGATGAAGGGAACTTTCCGATCAAGTTGAGCATGCAGAATTTGCCTGCTAATTCAGCATTGACGTTATAAGTTATTGCATATCAATCTGTTACGTTATTATTATACGTATCATCTTCACGTCGTGGCTGATTAAGAAACTAATTAACTGAATCGTTTTATTAATAACAGGCATTATAAGGACATAATATATATATATATATATATAGTTGCCTATTGGAACATAAATAAACTCTCAGACATTGTTTTCTTCATTCTCCTTATTTCCTTTTCATCGGATTTACACCGCCAAATAAAAATTAACGCTGAGAAGTCTTTTTTTCTTTCTAATATGTTTCATGTCCTTATGCATGATATATAATTTCATTTACTTCTTTGCATCGTAATGACTCTTGTTACAAATATAAAAAAAAAACATGACAAGCCACGTTACTTCCAAATGAAGTCCTAAGACCCCGAAACACGATAATAATGCAAGTAAATTTAAAGATTCTATGCGCCTAAGAAGGCAAAGTTGGATTAAAAAGGTTTATTTGACTACCATCAAGCAAGACCTAGTAGAGGTGGATCGGATCATCGGAGAGCAGTCAGTCAGTCAATCCACTATTCGGTAAAAATTATGATCCAAGAGATGTCGTGTGTGATACTGATCATATATCACTAATTTTGTAACGTTTCTTCCATCAGCTCAAATGTAAAAGAATCAAGATGACTTGATATATCACTGGACATTCAACCAAAAACCACATTGCTCTTGATAAGTGTCGGCGAAACATGCAATGCTAGTCATGTTTTAAAGCCTTTAATAAATAAATACTTTAGCAAATTTTATAAATAAAACTTGGAGATTGACGAGCCTAGAGACTATGTGAGTTGATATCGCCATAGGCCCATAGTGATCGAAATTTTTCCTTCAGCGCGCGGAATTGAACTTTTGATCTCTTGCATACAAGTTTACTTACACGATTAATTGAGGTATTGAATTTTCCTACTAACTTGCATATTACAATCAGTTGTAATTATGTTGGAGTTTCATGATATCTTCTCCTTAATCATGCACAAATAGCATGAAGATGAGAGCAAAGTAGAATCATAAGCCATTGAAGGATTAAGAGGAGTAAAGAAGGAAAGAAAAGTCAACGTACGAAGAAATAGTTTCATCCTCTCCTTAATCATGAAGCAATGGACCCAATGGCTATATTAAGGCCCAATTATAATATGGGTTTTGTTTAGTAAGTAAAGAGGAACGTATTGAAACGACTCAAATAAAACATTGAAGGGTGAAAACCCACTAATAGAGACCTACACAACTAACTTTTTCAGTAACATTTCAGCAGCTTAGAGTGAATGACTCATGTCGTAGATTAGTTTTGGTCGTTGCATTTTTTGAAAGCTATGCGTTTAGGAAACTCATCTCTTTCGTCTTTATAAGTTCTGTTCATCCCACATCATTTAAATAGGATAAGATTCACTTGCAGGTTGCTCTTAGTTTGTGAACTGCACGTTGCATATGTTTTTCTTTTATTAAACTTATCTTCTTTTATTAAACTTATCTAATCAAAAGATTAAAACGGATTGTTATACAAGATTAATGAAACAATTTTGCTTCTTTTTTTTGTACTTACAAAATGGTTTAATACAATCTCAAGCTCTTCTTTCACAGTACACAAGAAAATACTGAAAAACAGTACACCTTTCTGCTGCTATCAATTACACCAATCTACCAAACAGAAGGGACCCATCATAAGAAGAGTTCTAATATATTTTTTTATCAAACGAAAAAGAAAAAAAAAATCACCCAAATTTTCAATTTTTTTGGAATTTGTTTTTTTTTTTTTATAATTATGACGAATTTTGTCAGAAAGGATGGATATTTCTGCTGAGACCATTCACGTTGGTGAAGAATCCGACTTGTTTGTACGGAAGATACGATCTGTGTTTCCCTTCTTCCTTCACCGCTCTGTTTCTCATGTAAAGCCTCTCGTGCGCCGACTTCGTTCTCTTCTCCGACGACGTCGTTTTCCCCTTCCCCTTTTTATCCTTTCTTGTCTTTATCTCCTCCGTTGGCTTCTTATCATCATGACTGGTCAATTTCGCCGCCGAAGAAGACGACTGGGTTTTATCGCCGACGTTACTGTTCAAGAAAACAAACGCGTCTCTTCCGTCACTGTTGCTTCTCAACACGAGATCCCTAAATCTCCAGAGCTTCGAGAATCCCGTCGAATTGCTCTTTCGGCAAGCCTCCGGCGACGCTTCCTCAACAGTTCCTCCCGACCACGAGCAGTACGGTCCTCGCGGTTCAAGCTCCGAACCCGACGCCGTCATGGCCTTCTCGCCGTCTCCGTCGCGATCCTCCACAAACAACTTTCTAAGACGCGGCCGTGAAGCCTCGCTGTTGTCGTCGGTCACCGAAACGCCGTCGTTTTCGTAATGGAAGAGTAGATCGCGGTTAAAGAGAGGGAAAACAGGACGGATCTGACCATCCTCGAAAGCTTCATCGGCGGTTATCGGAGATCCTTCTGCGTTTACACAAGCAAACGAGAATTCTTCTCCTTCATCTTCCTCTTCTCCTTCATCTTCCTCTTCTTCTTCTTCTTCTTCATCTCCTGCTTCCTCTTCCTCGTCAAATTCGACGGATTCTTCGAGTTTACTCCACGATCTCTCCAATTTTCGAATTTCTTCTCCTTCTTCTGGAAACCCCAGCTTCTTGCTGAAATCCTCGCTCAGCTTCATGGAAATCTCTGTTAACCGGTCATCACCGACGAATTTCGCCGGCGGCGACGAAGGAAAAGCAACCTGCATCGTTGTTGTTCAGATCAAAAACCCACCTTAGCTCTATCTCTCTATCTGAATTCTGAAGAAAGCTAGCTTAGACGACGGCTGTGTGTGAAATGAGAAGTAGGAAGGGACTTCAATATTTAATAGTGACCTTTAGCCTTTATATATGGTTGTTGTTGCCCACCAAGATTAGTTACCCAGTGTGAAACAACACCTATTTATTACTACTTTTTTTTTATTTTTGATCTTTTCTGGCCAACGACCTTAAAAAAATATCTAAAAATGAATTAAATGTAGTAAAATTAACGTAAAAATTAGAAATTTTCTGGTAAAAATATCAACAAAATTAACGAGTTAATTAGGTAAATAGCATTGCAAAATTCAAACTATAAAATGCCGATAATGTGAATTCTTGATATAATATGGTATTAAATTTTCATTTATTTTTTTGTTGAAATTTAAAGAATTATTTTGTTAACTGTATTTTATAGAAATAGATTTCTGTGTTTTATAAAAAAATGTTAATAATTAATGCCTTAGTTACATTGAATTTTTAAGGATTATATTATATATTTATGTAACAAAATATAGATATATTTGGTAAATTATATATTTACATAGATAAAAAGAACTATAGTATAACCAAAAAATATACGTTTTTGAATATCTATTTAATTTATGTATTGAATGTTACAAAACTTTGTTTGATATATTAAATGTACACATTAAAAAAAGGAAATTACGAAAAACACGTTTTTCATGAGTAATACCCTTTTAAATTTTCTTTACATCTGTCAAAAGTAATCGCTAATTCATCCAATAACTCAAAAGAAAAAAGGGAAATTTAGATTTTTGGATTGTCATGAATAATTTCTGTAAAAGTTAGATTACACGTACATGAGAGAATGAGATCGCTTCTCTTTTTGTTGTTATTCACTTTGGAAGTAAAATCGCGTGATTGGGCCGAGGAAAAATATTGGTTGGGCTGCCGCTGTGATTATCGCCAACGTGTCGTCACCACCGTTTCCAAACGGAGGAGTAAAGTCGTAATTTTGCTACTAGAAGCTTGTTGGGAAAGCAAAAAACGAGACTGACATGTGGAGTGACGTGGAAGCATTTCTTGAGAAACACGTGTCGTGACGACGGTGTAAATTTTCCTGAGATCACGGTTTAGTTCCGTTTTGAAGGTGACCTAACATTGCGTTTTGCGAATTTGCGTTGGTTAGTTCACGCGCGAAGGGTGACGTTGACCCATTCTTACTTTCTTAGCATTGGTCAAAAGTCAAAACTAACGGTGGAATAACTTGACATACGCGTGGAACTAACGGTTCTGTTATTCTAGATTACCAAGTGTAGCCCACATGTTTATTACAATTTATTTTTTCCAATAACGGTCAAAAGCATTTTATATTATTCAAACAATGTGTCTATAAAATAAAGCGAGTCTCACATGTTTATTGTAAATACATGTGGATTACTATTTAGCAGTCGACTACTTTGAAATTGAAAGTAAAAGGATCCTTTTGACGATAAAAAATAATAATAGTAAAATCTTTTGCAAAATCCACGACCCACCATATAAATATATCAAGAGACCTTGGAATTGCGATGCACTCATATTAAATAAAAAGTTGTAAACAGAGTAATTGGTTATTTAAACATAAACTATACTATATAACACATCTAATTTGGTCAATGCATCTCTTGTTTTTATATAGGTTGGTCAACAATACAAGTTTGTATGTACCAATTGTACCAACATAAGCTATGCTCTGATCTAAGCTGTACAATATTGAAGTCTCGTTACCCAAATATAATTTGGATATAGTTTGTCATCTAAATTTATATTTGGGTTGGTGACTTTTGGGCGTTACAGCTAAACGTCGAAGACTTCATCATTGTCGTCGTCGGATATTGTTGAAGATTTCCAGAAAACGCCACAAAATATTTAATAAGAAAACAAAATACGAAGGTGGGCAGAAAAAAAGAGAGAAAAAAACAAATTCAAAGAAAATGTTTAGTTGTTCACCTAACATATTATATGCAGCAGAGATATTGACCAATATGGATTTTTGTTTTTGTCTGGCAATATTGATCGATTTGTATTTTTTTTGGTAGATATAAAATAAATTAGTATTCTTAAAATGCATCGATGAGAATATCAATTGAACTCCTTCGATATGCAATTAGCTAAGGTCCCCCTCGATGAGAACTTTTATTTTTCTTCTGAAACTATATTACTCTATAATAAACTACGAAACCCAAAATAATATTGTTGAAGAACAGTAAACTCCTAAACTAATTACAAAAAAAAAAAAAATGCAGTGGACTGGACAATTTCACAAAAAATGAAGGTACGTACGCTTGTTGCCAAATTTATAGAAAATGATTATTTCTTGGTGGAGAGGATAATAAGAAGAGAATAGATACCAACTATATTTAATTTTAATGTCACAATCATCTGAAGTCCTTTATTTCATAATTAAATTAGAAAAAGAAAACTATTCACACATTTATTTCATTATATTTGGTCCCACGCTCCCACTTGATAATCAAATATATAGTCCACAACATTTGACTTCCACAAAATTTGCCTCCTCGAAAAATTCAGGTTTAACCATATAGTTTATAAAATTTAATTGACCGTCTCTTGACACTTGGCTGCTCCCGCTTGTATTGGATGACATGTCAACATTTTCTAAAATCGAATTTATAAAAGATTTCATTATATTTTGTTACTACAGTCTTTTTATTGGCAAGTTATTTGGTTAGGAAAAGGAGCTTCCAACGGCTTCAGAACTTGTGAATCATCCGTTCTTCAAAGTTGCTTGTTCTAGTAACTTCTTGATTGCAATTCTCAATAAACTCTCCCTTCTTGGTCAACGTCACACAAAGCTGAAGTGAAGGTAGAAGTTTCTTTTTTTCAACCCAACTTACCGTCTACTTTTAGTAATTACTCTTTTCAGCAACTAAATAGATTACTCTTCTCAGTCAGAAATGAGACATACGCAAGAAGGAATCAGATGGATTCTCGACTTACGTAAGAATTATTTAAGATTTAAAATAATTCATAAAACATAACAACATTATGTTCATAGCTTTAGAAAAAAAAAACATTATGTTCATAGCATGAAATCAAAGTTGGTAAATTCAACTTCCTCGGAACCCTAATGCGATCTATGATACACGACGTTATTAGAGCTACATCTTCCGTAACAATGATGTACTAGACGAGTAATTTGATAGCTTTATAGCACCAAACCGCAGTTATAAAATGTTAGTTCAAAATCTTGATTTCTTGATCGCAACGCAAAAAGTCAAGTTTAGGTAACTTTGCAATATTTACATCAAATACAAATTATGAATTTGTGGCACAAGAGACAAGACTAACGATTATAGCATATCAAAAGAAATACCGTAATTCTTACACAAGACTCACGATTATAGCATTTTCCATTTTCAGAGCCAAACCGGATCAGTTCCGTAATGGTGCCAAATCCTAATTATGTAATTACACCAAATTGAGCTTCTGCTATTCTTAACGCAACCGACATCAATTTTACAATTTTGACGTCATATCTCTCTGTTATAAAATTTTCAACACACAAATCGTGATTCTATGTTCTGATAGTTGAGCGCAATATCCTGATTAAGCAAAATTCGGCATAAACTCGCGATTTCGTAATTTCGGCATCACATGACAACTCTAATATTAAAAAAACTCACGGGTTTCAGATTTTGCAATTTTGGCCATAATTGATGATAATAGAATTTATTATTTCTTAAATTTGTAAGAAATTTGTAAAATACACTAATTTTTTTCTTATTAAAAATACATCATTTTAAAAGTAATGGTTCTAAAATACCCTTACTTATTATTAACTCATAATTATTTAAATAAATATATTTTTATTATAAAATTAAAATTCGTAATTAATTTTAAATTATTTAAAAGATTGCTAGTTCCAAAAAATCGATTTATTATAATTGTTATTTAAAAAACTATTTATTTTTTTTGTTGGTTGATTTTTCACACATTTGACTTGTTATTATTGGACATAATCTTTTTATTGCTAACTTGTAAATTTATTTTTGTCAGATTATTTTCTCATAATATATTTATATCATTTTTATTAAAAACATTTTATTAGATTGATTTATTTGAACTATCAATTTATATTTTAATGCAGATGATTTTTTTATTATTTTGGTAAATTGATTTAAGAACAGTCGATTTTTATTTTCATTTTTATTAAGTTGACTTATTACAACTATTAACTTATTTTAAAAGAAATGGTTTGAATTTTAGTTGATTGAAATTTTTTATAGTGTTGACTTGTTATAATTACTGATTTGTATTTTTTGTCCATTTATATTCTCTTTATTAAAATACATATATATTTTTATCAATTTTTTATTGTTTATTTTTAACTATCAACTTATATTTTTTACAATGTCAATTTTTTATTGTTTTAGTTGACTTATTTTATAACAGTATAGTTATATTTGGGTTAGTTGAGTTATTTACAAAATTAACTTAACTTTCATATTTGTCGGTTCATATTTTACTCTCATGAATTTATTTTCCTTCAAACATCAGCCTTCTTTTCCCACGTCAAGAATTCATGAGAATCGAGCTGCCCACGTAAAAAGGTAAGCGTACACTCATCCACCTCCATTCATTTCCATTTTGAGTTTTGAATTTCATATTGCATGTATTCTGTCTGAATCTGAATCAAGCTTAAAATTCCTCAAATTAACAATAATAAATAAAAACTTTTCGCCATTTGCTTAAAATCCTGGAGAGAAATGGGTGTGTTTCCTGGACTTGATAGCTGGATCAATCTGAACACTCAACAGCCTCGTAAGGTCAGTTTCATTTCCATCAATCACAGAACCCAAAATTCAAATCAGTTAAAAATAAATCAATTATGATTCTGTTTTTCTTGTTGTAGGCCGAGTCCGATGGATCTGCGAATGCTGTATCTAATAAAGTGCAACCAATAGATCCTAAATATTATGACAAAGATGAGGTAAATAAGCAAATAAAACTTTGGAGAGATGCAGAGAAGAAACATCCATGGTCCGATGCCCTTCCTAAGGTAAAGGTAAGACCCAATCAGCGTTCAAAATCTCAAATATATTTAGTTTTTTTTTTTTTTTTTTTTTTTTTTGCCTTTTGGTAGAATTTATTAAGCATAGAAATCTTTAATTTTTCTTACATTTTATTTAAATGATTGAATTTGAAGGTGACAACAAAAAAGGGTCTGTACCATATGAACATAGAAATGACAGTGGGATATCCTCCTGAAGCACTATACGAGATGTTCGCTAATCCTAACAACGAAGATTACTTCAGACGAGTCAAGGACGGGCGCCCACTTCTGGTTATAAACAAATCTTTGTATGATATAAACTATAGAATAAACTATAGCAATACTTGAGAGTATGAACATTTTCTTGTGAAGAAAAGCAAATCAAGAAAGGTTTTGAAGAAAGATGGACCAAGGGAGATCGTGGAGCTAGACAAAGCTGTGGCGTGGAACTTCTTTTGGTGGTCTGCACCTTACCCGATACAACTAATTGCTGATGAAAACCAAAAAGATCTTACAGTAACAAGCTTCTCTATATGTATCCCTCACAATAATTTTTTTTTTTAATATTGGTGGCATAATTTAGTTTTGATCTTCTGCTTAGGGAAAATATAGGAAAAAGGAAATGATGTTCATGAAAGTGTTCGAGGGTAGCTGGAAAATAGAGCCACTATACGTGGACCAGGGACGCTTGTGCAAGTCGAGGGAGCCAAAGAGTCGACAAGAGTACAAAAATTGTAGCAGCGGACTAGGAAAGATTGGGACGAAGGTGACCATGGAGCAGCGTTTTGAGCCCTCTTCTCTTCTTAATTTACCGCCAATTTCTTGGTACATCCGTGAGACCACCATCAAGACCACGAAGACTCTGCTTGAAGATTTTCAAAGCAATGGTAAGATGCTCCGAGAATTATGAAAAGCCCTTGAAGCATGGCTATACTGGGGGTAGTAAACTACTAATGTAGAACGTACCCTTATCAGACACTGTTATAAAATCATTTTATTATAGATCCGCGTATTGGAATATAAAATTGAAATCTAAAATATCCGTGAAAAAACCAAGGTCATGATATGTATAATGTATTATAGTGATTTAATTTGTATTAGTTTAGTTTGAACAAATTAATTTTTTTATATCCGAATAAAAACGAAAACAAAAACTGATTTAGTTACCATTTTTTCTACCAGTTCTAAAGAAAGTAACGAACCCTAATTAAAATTTTGAAAAGGATGCAGATTGAAGGATTATAAATCAAATAAATCCCACGCAGCCAATGATTGAATTGTCAGGTAGAGAGGGGGGAGATAAGTTTTTTCCCCGTGGCACACCTTTTCACAGTTAAACAAATAGACAAAATCTTCGATTTCCTCTCTCTTTATGTAGCTCTCGCCTGTACGTCAACAAGTCACAAAAATCGAGCTGCCCACTTCATTATTCCACGTAACGTACACTCCTCCACCTCCAGCCCGTTGGTACTCCTTCAATTTCATAATCAAATCCTTAATCACAGATTCCTCAAACAGAAATATATACAAGATTCGATCGTCATTTGTTCTTGTTCAGAAAGAAATGAATGTATTTCCTGGATTTGGTAGCTGGATCAATCAGAATATGGAACAGCCTCTTAAGGTCAGGTTCATTTCCATCAATCAAAGAACCCAAAAGTCAAATCTATGTAAACTACACTATATCGGTTAATTATAGTAAGTAGTGTATATATGTTTCTCTTAGTATTTTTTATTTTTTATAGGCCGAGTCCAAGAAATCGGAGAATGTTAAACCTAAGGACAGAGAAGAAATGGACAAGCAAGGAAAACTTTGGAGAGATGCAGAGAAGACGCATCCATGGTATGATGCTCCTACTAAGGTGAAGGTAATACCAAATGAGCAAACAAAAACTTTTATTATTATTTTTTTTGTGTGTTGCATTCATAGGAATTCGTAGAATTAAGGGAACAAAAAAAAATCCTAAATGTTTTTCACATTTTTTATGTTTGAAGGTGACAACAAAAAAGGGTCTTTGCCATATGAACATAGAATTGACATTGGGATTGCCCCCTAAAGCAACCTACGAGCTTTTCACTAATCCAAACAACTTACCACTTTTTAGTGACAAGTCTTGGCGCCAACTTCTGGTCTTTTTTCTTGTCATTGAATGATTCTAATGTGGCATTTTTAATAGCAATACTTGAAATTGTGGTATTTTTGTTGTGAAGAAAAACAAATCAAGAAAGGTTTTGACGGAGGATGGACCCAGGCAGATCATAAAGTCGGAGAAAGCTGTGGCCTGGAACTTCCTTGGGTTCTCTAGAGCTCTCCCAATAAGTCTAATTGCAGATGAAAACAAAAAAGATCTTACCGTAAGAAGCTTCTTTATACCCTTCACAATAATCAATATTTTGGTTTTGTATTGGTGAAACATAAGCTGGGTTTCTCTTGCTTGTTGTGGACAGGCAAAGTATAAGAAAGAAAAAATGATGTATATGAAAGTGTTCGAAGGTAACTGGAAAGTAGAGCCAATATATGTAGATCAGGAGCGCTTGTGTAAGCACATGTTACCAAAGAGTCAAGAAGAATACAAAAAATGTAGCGGCGGACAAGGAAAAATTGCATCCAAAGTGACAATGGACCAATATTTTCAGCCATATGCTTTTCTTAATCTGCCCCCGGTTTCTTGGTACATTCGCGAGACCACCATCAAGACCACCGAAACTCTTCTCAAAATGCTTCAAGATATGGGTGCCCAGATGCGAGCGTAAAGAGAACTCAGTAGTGCTCCGCACTAGCCCAAAAATTGTAGTACACTAGAAACCTAAAAGAAACCAAAAGACTACACCTTATAAGTATGAAGAAGATATATGGAAGAACAATTTGAGGAAATTAGGAGCGTTGAAACCAGTAAGAGAATTTATGGTAAGTGAACATTCTTTTTAATTCGCTTAATTTGTTTTGACTCGATACCTTTTTACGATGTTACAACCTACAAGTGAAAAAGGGTGATGAAGTATTTATACCCTCCACACTACAAATTTGCAATATGCTGCTTATCACAATCTCTACAATTTCTACCATTTACATATTTATCTTAGGCTTAACTACACTAGTATGTAAATATTTAATTAGGTCTTACAATTCTCTAAATTATTTAAAGGAGGTGATCGAATGTTGTGGTGTTTCAAAATAAACTCGGAAAACTGGACAGAATTTGGATTTAGTTCAATTACGATAATTAGACCATCAACCCATTTTTAGACGGTTTTAAACCACTTCAATAGAAGCTCCGTCATGTCAATTCAAAAAGTATATTTCATAATTGCCGAAATCTATTCATTACCAAGTGAGAACAAAAAGATTTGAAAATCTGTTCTAAATATTTTCTTTAGATCTCTTCTTTCCACAAGTAGGTCTAGCTTGTACGTCAATAACTCACGAGAATTGAGCTGTCCAATTCTTTGTTTTTCGGAACGTAAAACTTTACGTACATCATTCTTTCAAATTAGATGCAAACATTTTATCTAAGACGATTTCTCAAACCATAATATATACAGACTTTAGACCGTCAGTTGCTCTTGTGCTCTCATCAGGTAAGTATCATTTGTGGACTCAAGATGAAGGTAAATAATGGCGAAGAAGAGGACCAGAGGCAGCAAAACATTCTTTGGAGTGATGCAGAGAGGAAGCATCCATGGTATGATGCTCCTCCAAGGGTGATGGTAAGAGCAAATCAGGAAAACGAAATCTCTATACTTTTTATTTTTATTTTATTTTAGAGGATTTGCTAGAATTAAGAATAAATATTCTAAAAATTTCTTACATTTTGTGTGTTGGAAGGTGACAACAAAAAAATGGTATTTGCCATATGAACATAGAATTTACAGTGGGAATCCCTCCGGATGGAGTCTACCAATATTTCACTAAGCCAGTTAGCATAACTTTCAATACGGGAGGGCGCCCGCTTCTGGTTTTTTTCTTTCTCTAATCATTATATGATTCAAATGTTGTAATAATTATAGCAACAGTACTTGAGAAAATGATACTTTTCTTATGAAGGAAAACAAATCAAGAAAGGTTTTGAAGAAGGATGGACCAAGGCAGATCGTAAAGGTGGAGAAAGCTGTGGCGTGGAACTTTCTTTGGTGGTCTGGAGCTATCCCAATAAATCTAATTGTTGATGAAAACCAAAAAGATTTTACAGTAAGAAGCTTATCTATACGCCCACTTTATAGTCATTATTTTTGTTTCGTAATAGTGAAGCATAGCTTGGGGTTTCTTTTGCTTGTTGTGGACAGGCAAAATATAAGAAAGAAAAAATGATGTTCATGAAAGTGCTCGAGGGTAACTGGAAAGTGGAGCCATTATATGTAGATCAGGAACGGTTGTGCAAGCACATGTTACCAAAGAGTCGAGAAGAATATAAAAAATGTAGTGGTGGACTAGGAAAGATTGCATCGAAAGTGACTATGAACCAATACTTTCAACCCTCTTCTATTCTTAATCTGCCACCATTTTCTTGGTGCATTCGTGGGATCACTGTCAAGACGACCAAAACTCTGCTCGAAATGATTCAGTATAGGAGTGTTATATACCGAGAGCTTTCATTCAGTTCCTACTATAAACAAAAAGGCTTATGATGTCGTTTATATTTGGGACTTGCGTCGGTTATTAACTGACTCAAAAGAATGGCGTCGGTTATCTAAATTTAGTCAGCAACGTCATAAAGACTTTAAACAACAAACATGGAGAACACTAGTCTAGACGATTGTACACAGATATATGGTGCAAGATGTAAATTTATTATATTCTTACGTTCCTTATCTTTAGTGTTTCAGTTATATGTTCTAAGCTATAAATTTAGTATGTTTGTACTTAATTTTTTGAAAACAAAAACTGAGGCGATTTTAGGACTTCAGTTACATTAGGCCGAACTCTACGCTCTCACTCGCTCTTTATTTACTATATCATATTTTCATTACATGTCCATTGTCCACGTCATGCATACTGAATCCCTATTGACATGAGTTGAATGTGGATCGGATAAATTTAAGGTTTGCACATTCTCTACGAATTTCGTATGCATTAGTATTTTAATAGAAGATGTACACGACATGCATGAACAAAACTGATTTGTTTACTAAAATAGAGGAATTTATTCTATTGTCCACGACATGCATGAACAAAACTGATATTTTTAGTAAATTAGTGGAATTTATTCCATTGTCTACGACATGCATGTTAAGCTCATGGATGAAGAAAATTGATTGTCTAGTAAAATAGCGGAATTTTGTTAAGAACAATATAGGACGTGACAAAAAAAATTAGATCTCATTATATAATTAATAAAGAGATGACACATGTGTTTAACATAATTTTGTGATTAGCTAACACATGTTTTTAAATATTTTTATAAGATATAAGCATCAAGCTGCGGCTGCCCATATCATATTTTTTTGCCGTTCGCAAATATTACGTACACTTCCCCACTTCATGTTCATGAAAATGTTCAACCTCTCCTCTTTTCTCAGGTAGGTATCTCCTATACGTCAATAAGAATAATTCACGAGAATTGAGATGCCAACTTTTTTTTTTTTTTTGAACATAAAATATATCGCTAACCGATTTCACTGGGGAAGCTGCCCACTTCATTGTTATAACGTAATACATAACTATCCGCTCAAGATCCAGGCATTTTATTCACAACTTCTTAAACCATAACATATACAAGCTTCTAAGACCATCTCTTGCTCTTGCTTGCATTAGGTAAGTATCCTTTGCGGTACTAAAAGTCGAGAGAGAAATGGGTGTCTTTTCTGAATTTGGTAGCTGGATCAATCAGAATACTCAACAGCCTCCTAAGGTCAATCTCATTTCCATCAATTGAAGATATCCTTGGAACCCAAATCATTATATATATATATATAGGTTAAATTAGATTATGATCTGTTTGCTAATGTAGGCCAAGTCCAAGAGATCTGAGAATGTTAAATCTAAGTCAGCCTCAGAGACGGATACTAATAATGCCCCAGCTAAGGTGAAAGTAAATAATGAAGAGGATGACGACCTGAAGCAAGACATTCTTTGGAATGATGCAGAGAAGAAGCACCCATTGTTTTAGGGGGGCTTATTGGATCTTGATTTTTGGAAGACATTAGTTTTTTTCTAAAATATACTGTTATTGGATCTAAAATTCTTAAATGTCTTTTAAAGTCTCAGGTTATTGGATATAGAATTCTTCTCAACTAATTCAAAATAATTCACAATCTATGGTTATTCAATTGATAAGTCATCAAAATCATAAAAAATCTGGAGTTATTAGATCATTTTCAATATTAAAACAAATTAAATCTGAAAAGATTTCTAAATATTTGATTACAAGTTTTTAGTTATATAACCAAATCAACAAATCTCACCTACAAAGATGATAATTTCAAGAGATTTGTTTAAAAAAAAAATTCAAACTTATCTCATTTTTTTGTTGGAGTAAGTTTAGATACGTTAATATATATGCAGCAATTCAGATCATCTTTGTACATGAAACTCGACGACTTGGTATATTACCTTGTGTCCTTTTTATTATCTTGTTCGTTCAATTTGAGTTTCTCATTTGTTTGCTTTTTTTTATGTTTGTATAGTTCATTTACGATGGGAGATGGACATGAATCTAAGAAAGGCTAATATAGTCATTGGTCTGAACCAGAACATAATATGTTGCTCCGATTATTGGTGGATGCTATTAAACGAGGTTGGTGTGACGCAAATGGTTCCTTTAACAAGCTAACGATAGAGAAAAAAACATTATTGGTTTTAAACCAGAAGCTTGGTTCTGAGAAAAATTATAGCCACTACAAGAATAGAATGAAGATATTGAAAGCTAGGTACCAGAGTTATGTTGATCTTTTTCGGCACAGTTCTAGATTTGGATATTTCTTCATTTTTAATAAAAATTGTGCTGGTTTTTGTTTTGTCATACAAAATTAACTGAAATGTATCTTAAAAATCTTTCTAAATTTTAATTTAGATTTTTTAATTACTTGAAAAATATATATTAGAAATCACACAATATCTACAAATTATATCAAAATCCAATCAAATATCAAATCATTCAAAATAAATTCAAATCATTCAATACCATGATCCAATAAACCCTCTAAATGATTATTCACAGATAGATGGTGTCAGTTGTAAATTTATTCCTTAATTTCTTATTAGAAAAACCCTTGCTCTTTGACTATTCTATCACATTTCATTATATTCTTCTATTGCATAGTCCATGCTGACAAGTGTTGCATACGGATCGGATAAATCTAAGGTCATATCATTCCCTACCAATTTTTATGTATACACAATTTCCACTAAAACTTCTTCTGCGTTGCTATCATCTCAAACTTGCCATCTTAAATTTACTCAAAAAAAAAAAAAAATTACTGCGCAAAATTTCAAGTAGAAAAAGTATCCCATAAATCTTTTAAAATTAAGAAATAGCCATTGTTGCATGGTAAGTTTTATGGTTTACAATGTAAAGGGTTGGAGTTAATATTTGGGTTTATGCTTAGTATTACGTAGAGCATATGTTTTAGACCAATGAAATATCAAATATTACATGTTTATTATATAATATTTAATTTGTGAAATAATAAATTTAAATCAATATATAGAGAAATTAAAGGTTGTTTTGAATTTTTACTACCTGTCATTCAATTATATGGAGGATATCAATTTCTTGTATAAGTCATTTAGTACCATTTCGAGGTAGTAACATGTTACGTACACTCCCCCACTTCATGTTCATGAAAGTGTTCGATACGGAAAGAACACTCCCCATGTTGCCGTTAAGACGGAGAAGAATATGAAAATTGTGAAAGAGGAGAGTGAAAACTGGACCAGCTTTGGAAAGTATCATGCTCCGATTTATATATTGAACTTCAATCTCCTATTTCCTCAGGTATATCTCGCTTGTACGGAAATAACTCACGAGAATGAAGCTGCCCACTACATTGTTTCGCCGGACGTAAAACGTAACGTACACCACTCTTTCAAGGTGAAAACATTTTTATCATAGATTCCTCAAACCATAATATATATATACAATATTTAAGATCGTCAGTTGTTCTTGCTCTCATTAGGCAAGTGATAGAAATGGGTGTATTTCCTGGATTTGGTGTCTGGATCAATCAGAAAAGTCAACAGCCTCCTAAGGTCACTTTCATCTCCATCAATTAAAAAACCCTGAGTAAGTCAAATAGATATAAACATATAATTATTCCCTTTGTTATTCTAGGCCGAGTCCAAGAGATCTGAAAATGTTGAATCTAAGTCGGTGTCACAAGACACTAATAATGCCCCTACTAAGGAGAAGAATGCATATTATGATAAAGATCATGAGAAGCAGCAAGATCAACTCTGGCATGATGCACAGAAGAAACATCCATGGTATGATGCCCCTCCTAAGGTCAAGGTAAGAGCAAATTACCAAACATAATTCAATACTTTTTGCCTTATATATATAGACAACTTATGAACAAATTTTTGTTATGCTTTTTCTTGTTTGAAGGTGACAACTAAAAATGGTATTTGCCATATGAACATAGAAATGATAGTGGGATTGACTCCTGATGGAGTCTACGAACTTTTCACTAATCCAGAAACCGGTGCATTCTTCGATAAGGACAAGTGGCGCGACCTTATGTTTTTTTTTTCTTACCATTATATGATTCGAATATGGTATTCGTTACAAAAAATACTTGATACTGATATATTTTTTTTATGAAGAAAAATAAATCAACAAAGATTTTGATGGACGATGGACCGAGGCAGATCGCAAAGGTGCAGAAATCTGTGGCTTGGGACTTACTTTGGTGGTCTTTACCTATCCTGGTAGATCTAATTGTCGATGAAAACAGAAAAGATCTTACAGTAAGAAACTTCTCTTACGATAATCAACACTTATGTTTAGTATTGGTAAAAATTAACTCCGATTTCTTGTTTATTATGGACAGACAAAATATAAGAAAGAGAAAGTGATGTTCATGAAAGTGTTCGAGGGTAGCTATAAAGTTGAGCCAATATACGTTGATCAAGAACGCTTATGCAAAAATAGGTTGCCAAAGAGTCGAGAAGAATATAAAACATGTAGTGGCGGACAAGGAAAGATTGCTTCGAAAGTGACAATGAACCAGTACTTTCAGCCATATCCTCCTTTTAACCTGCCGCCGGTTTCTTGGTACATTAATGGAATCACCATCAAAACCACCAAAAATCTGCTCCTATTGGTCCAAAATATGGCAACCAGGATTCGACGGGCTAAGCGAATTTCGTAGGTAAAGACATCAAGCAATAAACATGGAAAAACCTAGCCAAAATGTTCATACAAAATTATAGTATGTTGTAACTTATAAGTTTGTAAATTTAATATTTCTTATATTCCTTGAAGAATGTATTAAGGAAATTCGAGTTGACTATGGGACATCAATTACCACCAACTCGATGCTCTTAATTTCCATTTCACAGTCCATGCCATGCATGGTGTCATGTGTTGCATGCGGATCGGATAATTGGATAAATCTAGAGTTATCTCTTCCCTACCATGCAAATTTCATATCTGAAAAAAAAAACTAAAAAAACTTATATATAGGGGGTACCAGTCAAGGTATTGTATCTTTATCCACTTTGTGATTCGACACTTAATTACTCTTCGATGTTCCATGCACTTATGGATTAGTTAGCGTTTTACGAATATAAAGCTAAGAACCTAGTTGGATCCTTAGTCATTAGAAAAGATAACATTAGTGCGTGTCAGAGGACAAGATTTTTGACGAAGAAATCTCGAATTCCTCTGTTTCCAGATTTCATAAAACTGCAATCCAGAAAAGTAAACGTGCTTCATAAAAAAGTGTACTGATAGAATGCCGGACAAAGTGTGTTTCATAAAAATAAATCTGCATTAATTATGATTTGATTTAAAATAAAAAATAAACAAAAGTTATTCAGTGGGGTTGTAAATTTTTATTAAATAAACATAACATATCATGTTCCTATTCTTAGAAGCACTAATTAAGAAGGAACCAGATAGGTCTTTCCTATACGTCAATAACTCACGAGAGTTGAGCTACCCACTTCTTGTTTCGCCCTATGTAACACCTTAACGTACACCATTCTCTCAAGATGCAGCCATTTTATCTAAGATCTCTCAAAACATAATATATTACAAACTTTGTATCGTCATTCGCTCTTGCCCTGATTAGGTTAGTAACATTTGTGGTACTAAAACTTTAAAGAGAAATGGGTGGATTTCCTGAATTTGGTGTTTGGATCAATCAGAACACCCAACAGCCTCTTAAGGTCAGATTCATGTCCACCAATATAAACTACTATTGGTTAAATGAAAATTAGGTAAAGATTATATTTGTTGTTGCAGGCCGAGTCCAAGAGATCTGAGAATGTTAATAAATCTGAGTCGGTATCAGAGAAAGGTAATACTAATCAGGATCTATACTTTGACAAAGATGAGGAGTTGAAGCAAGGTAAACTATGGAGAATTGCGGAGAAGAAGCATCGATGGTATGATGCTCCTCCTAGGGTGAAGGTAAGAGAAAATCAGCAAACATATTATATGAAACTTTGAATTTTGGCCTTAGAGGAATTGCTAGAACTTTATTTTCAAAAACATCTTAACTTTATTATAAATTTTTGATGTTTCAAGGTGACTACGAAAGATGGTATTTGCCATATGAAGATAGAATTGACAATGGGATTGCCCCCAGAAACAGTCTACGAACTTTTCACTAATCCAAATAACGGACCATTCTTCGATATGGACAAGTTTGGACGCCAACTTCTGGTGTTTTTCTTATCATTGTATGATTCAAAGGTGGTATAAATTGATTATAACAATACCTGATAATGATATCTTTCTTAATTGTGAAGAAAAACAAATCAAGAAAGGTTTTTAAGAAGGATGGACCGAGGGAGATCGCAGAGACGGAGAAAACCTTGGCCTGGGAGTTCCTTTGGTGGTCTGGAGCTCTCCCCATAAATCTAACTGTCGATGAAAACAAAAAAGATCTTACAGTAAGAAGCGTCTCTATATCAATATCTTTGTTTTTGTATTTGTGAAACATAACTTTGGTTTCTGTTGTTTGTTGTTGATAGACAAAATATATGAAAGAGAAAATGATGTTCATGAAAGTGTTCGAGGGTAGCTACAAAGTGGAGCCAATATACGTAGATTCAGAGCGCTTGTGTAAGCACACGATGCCGAAAAGTCGAGAAGAATACAAAAAATGTAGCGGCGGGCAAGGAAAGATAGCATCGAAAGTGATAATGGATCAATACTTTCAACCCTCTCCTCTTTTTAATTTTCCGCCGATTTCTTGGTACATTCGTGACACTACCATCAAGACCACCAAAACTCTGCTCCAAATGCTTCAACTTACGGGTGGGACGATGCGAGGGGCTTAGTTAGTTCATCTTGATATTGACGTCATAAAGTCTTCAAGCAACAAATAGGGAAAACACTAGCCTAATGATCTCATTCACAAATATATGTTGTAAGTTGTAAATTTATATATTCTTTTTCTTTTTTCTTATAAGCAACTCGAGCCGACTTTAGGACTTCAGTTATGTTAGACCTAAATCGATCTTCTTACTCGTTCTTTGGTTATTTATTATAACATTTCTTAGTTTTAGTGCATCGCCATGCAATGAATGGTGACTTGTTAAATACGGCCGGATCGGATCCATCAAACGTTATCTCATTCCCTAGAGATTTCGTGTCTTTTAACATGTGATATCATACATATATATCGTTTTGCACCATATCTAGACTCTAGAGATTCTGAAAGTTTGCTTTAACAAAAAAAAAAAGAGATTCTGAAAGTTTGGCGCCAAATCCATCTTAAGCATTTTTGCATCAAATCACAGTTCTGAAATTCTGGTGCAAAACTGTAATTCCTCAATTTCGATGCAAAAAATTATGGTTATACGATTTTGTATTCTTGACGCAAAATTCTGATCTTGTGATGCCGCCAACTCTTTGATAGATTTGGCTCTATTCTAACGCAAAATAGGTTGGGCAGGAAACTCCTATATTTTTTTTTCATTTTTTGCTTCAAATATCCATTCAATTAATCTAACACAAGAATTCTATGGTTCTGAAATTTGGGCGCAAAATCCGGATTATGTGATTTTGGAGTGAAATTCTAATTTCACTAATTAAAACTTTAACTAATTTCACACGGAATTCAATGTCTAAAGATTTTGTAATTTTGGCCACAGATTATGGATATCATTATTTTTTTTCTTATTCCCTTAAACTTTTTGGACTTGGTCGATCATTACCTAGGTTGCATAGAAACTCCGTCTGAGGTACGTTTTCCGCTTCCCGAAACTCTCGGAAACTCGTCGGAAACACGAAAAATCACGTTTCCTAAAAATTTTAATTTGAAAACGCGTTTCCATTTTAGAAACACGCGTTTCCATTTTGGAAAAAAGATAAAAACTAATTTTTTATTTTTATGGGACAAATAGATAATTATAAAAATTAAATTAAATGATCAAATTATTTATAGTAAATAATAAAACTTTGATTTAGTAATTAAGATTAATATTGATATTATTAAATTTAAAAATTATTCTCTCGATGAATTAGAATTAGAGATAGTTTGGTTAATGAAACTAATAAAATTGATAATAAAGAAAAACTTTTAAATTTTTGAGTTTACATATTTTAATTTATATAATTTAATAATTATGTAAAAATTATATATTAGATTTTGTTGATTTAAATACTCTACTTATGATATAATTAGATCTTTAATACTTAATATATAATATATATATACGTTTCCAAAACGTTTTCATTTCTATATTTTTTAAAAATGGTGTTTCCACGTTTTGAAACGTTCCGCTTCAACATACCTGTATTTGTTTTCATTTCCATGCAACATAGACCATTACAGTGTTAGTGTTCACCATTTTAAATGAAATCCAGAAAGCAAAGATTGCCAGAATAGTTATGAAACGAATAAAGCTACTTGAAACTTATGGAGAAAGTAACCCTAATAAATTCTGTAAAAAAATGAAAATCAAATCTAATTAGAGTGTACAAGCTTACGTGTTACTCAGAAATCGAACTTAGCCGGAACATGATCGATTCAGATTCCGTCATTCTCCACTTTATCGACCTTTCCTCTTACTTCAGGTAGGTCTCGTAGCCTGTACGTCAACCACACACGAGATTTGTTTCGCCGTACTTAAACGTATACGTACACCATTCTCTCAAAAGTTTGTATTTTGTCTAAAATCTGAATCAAGATTAAATCTCAGATTCCTCAAACCATAAAATTTACTTGGTTTGGAATTTTTCATTTTCTCTTGCTTTGATCATTTTTTGTGGACTAAAATTTCAGCAATGAGTGTGTTTCCTGGATTTGGTAGTTGGATCAATCAGAACACACAACAGCCTTCAAAGGTCTGTTTCATTTCCATCAATCAGAGAACCCTTGTTAGTCAAATTCATATAAAATACTCATCAGTTTTTTTTTGGTTAACTAAAATACTTCATCAGTGAATCATAAAAACTAGTTTATGATTATGTTTGTTGTTGTAGGCTGAGTCCAAGAGCCCTGATGAATCTAATAATGTGTGGGCAGTAGATCCTAAATATTATGACTTAGCTGAGGTGAGGAAAGAATCAAAACTTTGGAGAGCTGCAGAGAAGAAACATCCATGGTCTGATGCTCCTGCAAGGATAAAGGTAAGACAAAATCAGCTAACAAATTCTCATTACATCTAAATGTTTTTTTTTTTTGCATTTAAAAGAATTTCTAGAATAAAGATCTTAAAGTTTCCTAACATTTTTTTTTTTAATGTTTGAAGGTGAAAACGGGAAAAGGGTGTTTGTCATATGAACATGCAATTTACAATAGGATTACCTCCTGAAGCAGTCTACGAGATGTTCACTAATCCAAACAACTTACCATTCTTCCGAGAGGACAAAGCCGGTCGCCAACTTTTGGTTTTTTTCTTCTTCTTCTTAGCATTGTATGATTTGAATTGAGTATTGATAATAGCAATACTTGAGATTGTGTTATTGTTTTTTTATATAAAGGAAAACAAATCAACAAAAGTTTTGAAAAAAGATGGACCAAGGCAGACCACGGAAGTGGAGAAAGCTCTGACATGGAACTTCCTTTGGTGGTCTGGAGATATCCCTATCCATTTAATTATCGAAGAAAACCATAAAAATCTTACGGTAAAATTGATGATCCCTGCTGAATCCCTTCACAAGAAACAATTTGTTTGTGTTTAATATTGGGTGAATTAATTTGGGGTTTGATTTCTTGCTTAGGCAAAATATAAGGCAAATAAATTGATGTTAATGAAAGTGTTGGAGGGTAGCTGGAAAGTGGAGCCAGACTACGTAGATCAAGAACTCTTGTGCAAGGCAAGGTTGCCCAAGAGTCGAGAAGAATACAAAAGATGTAGCGGTGGACAAGGAAAGGTTGGATCAAAGGTGACAATGGAACAGCGTTTTCAGCCCTCTTCTCTTCTAAGTCTACCGCCAGTTTCTTGGTTCATTCGTGGGATCACAATCAAAACCACCAAGACTTTGCTTGAAGATCTTAGAAAAGCGGGTGCCACGTACCGAAGAATTTGAAACTCCCCCAAATCCGGTATGGAACGATTATAATGGGGTGGTATTATCAAACCACTCAATTATAAAGGCAATCCTAATAGAGAAACAAAAAAAATATATATTGAAAGTGAACAAAACAATAGATAGACCATGGCATATATATGCATAGCGGATTGTGTTAGCGTTGTGTATGTGTCATCATTCGAATTGCAAATCCGGATTGTGTTAGCGTCGTATATAGTAACTCTTTAGAATTCAAGAATCGTTTGTCATCTCGCATTTCTTTAAAGTGCGTGAGACTTGGTATTAGTTCTTGGAGTTACTGCTCACCCTCTCACCCTCGTCAATGAAAACACCAAAAAGAAGAAAAATATCGAAATTGAAAGATTATTTTCATTTGTTACATTACATGACTTAGATATTAACAAAACAAAGAAAAGCGTGTCTTGGCCAGGCCCGGCCCAGATGACTGATAAGAGTATTTTATATGAATTTGTTTGCGCGGTTTGGACTTTCCCATCAATCTGTAATAACATTTGATCTCTTTTGATTAGATTTGATTGATGAGGGTGAGAGGGTGAGCAGTAACTCCAAGATGTATGTTCTATTAATAATGTCTCTATGGTTTTGCCTTTTTGGGTTTTGAGAGAATCTTTTGGTAAGCTCCTAAAGAACGTGGGTATGTATTTTAATATAGTACTGTCCTAAAGAAGGTGTCCATTCGATATGACTTATATGATCATTTACAAATATCATAAAGAAATATAATTAAATAAAATTATGTATGTTTATTAAAGTAATAATCTTTCATACTAAAAAAAAAAAAAAAAAAAAATCTTAAATAACCTTTTCCTAAGTAACATTATCTTATTGTATGTACAGTATGTCTATTAAGCCCCTCTCGATATTTGAATGCAGGTCGATCCTTATTGGGCTTGGCGAAAATACTGTTTTGGGTCTGGCTCACTAGCTTTGTCTTTGCGATCCACAAGTGAAGTGTTGCCGTTTTGAAGCTTGATCTCTAAATCCCATCATGCATTGGCATGATCCGTTAAGCCGCCAAATTTTTATTCAACCACTTTTGACACATCATGCGGCGCTTTACAATTTTAGTGGTAAATTACGATTCTCCAATTTTGTCATCATATCCATAATTTGTAATTTATGCTTAAAATCCCGATTAGATAGTTTTGGCACTAAATTTTCGAACGTTTCTCTCCTCATGTAGGTCTCGCCTGTACGTCAAGAACTCACGAAAATGGAGCTGCCTACTTCATTGTTTCGCCGTACGTAAAACTTAACGTACACCATTCTCTCAAGAGTCAAGTTGCAAATATTTTTTTTCTAAGATTCCTTAAACCATGTTAAATATAAGCTTTAGATCGATCGTCATTTACTCTTGCTCTCATCAGGTAAGTATAGTTTGTACATGGACTAAAAAATTTCGAATAGAAATGGGTGTATTTAGTGGATTTGGTGAGTGGATCAATCAGAACAATCAACAGCCTCTTAAGGTCAGCTTCATTTCCATCAATCAGAGGAGCCGAGGAAGTAAAATCAAACATAAACTACTATAAGTTAATCATAATGATGAGCTCATGGTTTTGTTTGTTGTTGTAGGCCGAGTCCAAGAGACCTGAGAATGTTAAATCTAGTTCGGTTTCAAAAAAAGATAACAACATTCAGGAACCATGGTATTGGGATCCTGCTGAGGACCCTAAAGTGAAGGTAATAGCAAATCAGAGAACAATATAAAATACGCTACGTACACATCGGTTAAATTAATGTAGACATTACATTACATTACGATACGATTATGTTGTTGTTGTAGTCGGAGGCCAAGAAATCTGGGCAGCCTGTTAGATCTATGCCATTGTATGCTACGGATCCAAAATATTATGAATTAGCTGAGGTGAAGAGGCAAGTAGGACTTTGGATAGTTCCAAATAACAAGCATCCATGGTATGACGCTCCTGCAAAGATTAAGGTAATTAGTATTGCAATACTATTTTTAAAAATTTTCCGTAATAGTAATTGCTAGAATAATTAATGAATTAAAGTTCTTAAAACATTTTTAAATTTTGATGTTTAAAGGTGAAAACAAAAAAGGGTCTTTGCCATATGAATATAGAATTCACATTGGGATGGCCTCCTCAAGGAGTCTACGAGATGCTCACTAATCCAAGAAACGTATTTTTCTTCCGTATCTTCGACAAACAATTTCGCCAACGTCTGGTTTGTTTTTTTTTTCATCATTTTTTTCATATAGTTGTATGATTCGAATATAATATTAATTACATTATAAGCAATAACTGAGACTGTAATCTTTTTTAATCCCTACGAAAGGACAACAAATCAACAAAGGTTTTGAAGAAAGATGGACCGAGGCAGATCACAGAAGTGGAAAAAACTTTTGAGATGGAAGCTCCTTGGGTTGTCTGGATCAATCCCGATACATCTAATCATCGATGAAAACCATCAAAATCTTACGGTAAAGAAAGCTTTCTCCATATCCGTCACAAGAACCAGTTGCTTTGGGTAAACAAAAGTTTGGGTTTGATGATCTTGCTTAGGCAAAATATAAGAAGGAGAAAATGAGGTACATGAAAGTGTTTGAGGGTAGCTGGAAAGTGGAGCCACTATACGCGGATCAGGAACGGTTATGCAAGTCTAGGTCACGGATTAGTGACGAAGAGTACAAAAGATGTAGCGGCGGAAAAGGAAGGATTGGGTCAAAGGTGACAATGGAGCAGATCTTTCAGCCTTCTTCTCTTCTTAATGTGTCACCTGTTTCTTGGTTCATCCGTGGGATCACCATCGAAACCACCAGGACTTTGCTCGAAGATCTAAGACAATATGTTATCGACATTCACAAAAGTTCAGACACTGTATGAACCGGTTATACTGTGGTGGTAGGTAGTATATACATCGAACCACTTGAGTTTTTAGTGTTGTGAAGTCACTTTATTAAAATACAGGGAATCGAATACGAGGAAAAGTAAAAACTATGAACAAGACAAAATAAATAAATTCACTAATTAATTTACGTAACAAAACAAACATGGCTAACACTAGCAATCAAGCATAAATTACATTATTACATACTTATATTCATCTATCAGGAAAAATAAAAACTTTTTTTTTGCTCAACTCAAGTAATTTAGACAAAATCTGGCTTGCATCAGTTCTCTCTCCCCATCACCCATCAATAATGTACAGAAAACTCTGTCGCACTTAAATATTCAGGTAAAACCATAAACAAACTTAAAGCGTCTGGAGAAAGTAACCCTAATAATATATGTGAATAAACATATTGTTGATGAAAAAGAGATCAGACTTTTATTGGTTTTGATTCCGTGACAAGAATCGACGTTCTCCAATTTATTGATTACTTCGATCTCGTCCTCAGATAGGTCTCGCTTGTACGTCAATAACTCACGAGAATTGAGCTGTCCACTTCTTTGTATCGCCATACGTAAATCTCCACGTACGTAAACCATTCTCTCAAAATGTAGATATTTTAGGCTAAGCAACTTACATTACACAAACCATAATATATAAAATCTTTAGATCGTCATTTGCTCTTGCTCTCGTCAGGTAAGTATATTAGTTTTTGTGGACTAAACTTTCGAATAAAAATGGGTGTATTTCCTGGATTCGGTGTATGGATCAATCAGAACACTCAGCAGACTCTTAAGGTCAGATTCATATCCATCAATCAGAGAGGACCCCAGGAAGTCAAATAGATATAAACACGTACATTTTGATTCTGTGTGTTGATGCATGTAGGACGAATCCAAGAGATCTGAGGATGTTGAATCAAAGTCGGTGTCAGAGAAAAACACTAATAATGCCCCTCCTAAGAACAAAAAGGTATATCATGACGAAACTGAGGAGCTGAAGCAAGAAAAACTTTGGCATGATGCAGAGAAGAAGCATCCATGGTATGATGCCCCTCCTAAGGTCAAGGTAAGAGAAAATCACCAAAACAAAAATCACAATACTCAAATATTGGTGTAATCAAGAACAAAAAACCCTTAAAATTTCTTAAATGTTTGATGTTTGAAGGTGACAAAAAAAGGGTCTTTACCATATGAACATAGAATTCACAGCGGGAATTACTCCAGATGGAGTCTACCATCTTTTAACTGATCCACAAAGCGGTCCGTTTTTCGATGTGAAGAAGTGGCGCAGACTTATGGTTTTCTTTTCTGATCATTATATGATTCGAATATGGTATTAGTCATATATATAGCAATATTTGAGACTATGATATAATGATTCTTATGAAGGAAAACAAATCAATAAAAGTTTTGATGGAGGATGGACCAAGGCAGATCGCAAAGGTGAAGAAATCTGTGATTTGCGACTTACTTTGGTGGTCTATACCTATCCCTATAAATCTAATTGTCGATGAAAACAAAAAAGATCACAAGGTAAAGAAGCTTCTCTCACGATAGTCAACACTTTTGTTCTGTATTGGTGAAACCTAACTCGGATTTCTCTGGCCTGTTGTGAATAGACAAAATATAAGAAAGAGAAAGTAATGCTCATGAAAGTGTTTGAGGGTGACTATAAAGTAGAGCCAATATTCGCAGATCAAGAACGCTTGTGCAAGCATAGGTTACCAAAGAGTCGAGAAGAATATAAAAAATGTAGCGGTGGAGAAGGAAAGATTGCGTCAAAAGTAACGATGAACCAATACTTTCAGCCATATCTTCTCTTTAATATACCGCCGGTTTCTTGGTGCATCCGTGGAATCACCATCAAAACCGCCAAAACTCTGCTCGAAGCGCTTCAAAAGACGGCTACCGATTTTCGAACGGCTACACGAAATTACTAGGCAAAGACATCAAGCAACAAACATGGAAAACACTAGCCTCAATGAACTAATTTATAAATGTATGTTTGTAAGTTTAATATATTCTTGCACAAGTATACGAGTACCAAAAAAAAATGTAGCCATATCCTCGTCTTAATCTGCCACCGCTTTCTTGGTACGTTCCGTGATGTATATACATTCGTGAGATTACCATTAAAGCCACCAAGAATCTGCCCCAAGATATTCAAAATATTGGTGTCGTGCTCGGAAATGAACCGGCCCCGTTTGATGTAGACCGGTTCTATTCAGAACCGGTCCTGGACAAAGCCAAATGAGGTTTTTGAAGAAAATTTTAATGTATATATAATAATTTGTTTGGTTTTTGCTGGCCCATCAAAGTTTTTAGTAGTTTTTTATTAATATTTTATGATTTTTTTATATAAATCTTATTTTCATTTATTAAAACAAAAAAAAAATTAAAAAAAAAATAAAAAAGGCCCCCATTTTTCATTGGCCTAAAAATGAAAAAAAAAAAATTTAGTGTATATAATAATTTGTTTGGATTTTACTGGTCCATTAAAGTTTTTAGTAATTTTTATTAATGTTTTATGATTTTTTTAATAAGGCCTACTTTCATTTATTAAAACAAAAAAAATTAAAAAATAATTTTTTGTTTGGCCCATAACTTTTAATCTGATTCTGGCTCCCAAAATTTCAGGGCCGGCCCTAGTTCAACTGTGTCTGTGGTAGTAACATCAAAGTACTTTTTTAAATACTGTTGTATAATTTATAAGAAGATTTCAAGACCATTGAACAACCTTTATTGTTTCTGGACCAAGATTTCATTGGTTTAGACTCAAATCTAATACACCACTAAATGGCCTGTTACCGAAAAGCTGCACCCAAACCGATTTAATTAAACCGGCTCGATTTTACGTAATAACCACTAATCATAATCGTCTCTTAGGCCCATTAACTACAGATATAAGTCCGTTATGCTTGGGTGTCACGTCGCTCACCGACCGCATTTTAAACAAAACAAAAAAAACCCCAGTTCTTCTTATTCAACTTAACACATTTACAGATTTCGACTCTTTTGCGCACTTTAGTCTTTTAATTATAAAAAACAAGACAAAAAAGTTAGATCAATTATCGGGTTTGCAAAACAGAGTCGAATTCTGATATTGTTGCGGAGAGATCGTGACCTAGGGTTCGGTTGCGACAAGCGAGAGACACGAGTCGAAAGCAATGTCCTGCCGAATCTCCGCACATGCTTTAACGTCGAAAGAGGAACTCACGAGAATAGAACTGTCTCCAGATCTTTAGTTCCCAGACCGTAAGTTACACTCAACCTCCACACAACTAATTCGTATTATTATTAATCACCTTTCTTAATTAATCAAACCTTTCTCTATGAGTTTCCCTCAAAAACCATTACGTTGACTTTCTTACCTTCTCTGATTTGTCCATTTCAATCTTGCTCTGTTTTGTGATCTTAAATCTTGTAGAAACAAATGGATGGATCTGAAGTTCCAAGATCAGAGGAGGAAAAGAGCGGTATTGGGTTCGTCAAAAAATTTAAAAATAATTTCGTATTTCCTGGATTTGTTGTCTGGATGAATCAAACAATTCAAGAGCCTCTAAAGGTCAAATATTCATTTCCATCTCAATAAACTCCCAACAAGCTTAATCAAATATAGAAATGAGTTAGATTGTGATTTCTGTTGTTGTTGCTGCTGTTGTAGGCTGAGTTCAGGAGATTAAGGAATGGCAAAGAGCTAAGCTTAATGAAGTCAGTGTCATCAGAGATAGAAATAGAGACTACTCATTACGAGGAAAGATATGAGAAGTTAGAGAAGCAAATACAAGCATGGAGAGATAATCCTTCATGGACAGATCAACCTCCTAAGGTTCAGGTAAGATGAACAAATCCTAAAAATTAGATTTGGTAAAATTAAGAAAATAAAATCTTTTATTAAAAAAAAAACCCTCCTTAAATATTGATGTTATGTAGGTGAAAACACAAAATGGCTCGTTCTGCCATTTGAACGTAGAAGTAAACGTAGGATTGCCTCCTGAATCAGTCTACAACATTTTCACCCATCCAGACAACAAAAGATACTTCAAGAACATCAAGGTGCTTGTTGGTCTTGTATAATTTAAATTGACAATTATATTACAGTGATACTTGCACAAAAACATTTTTCTTAATCCTAAAATAGGAATGCATATCGAGAGTAGTTTTGATGGAGGAAGGAGCAGTGCAAACCGTGGAGGTGAAGCAAGCGGCGGCCTGGAAGTTTCTATGGTGGGCTGGAACATTCCCTATACATCTAATTGTACAAGAAAACCGAAAACAGCTCACCGTAAGATATATATTAACAAGAACCAGTCTATTTGTTCTGTCTTCACCAATTCAAATTTTTTTCTCTGTCTCTTGCGTGTTGTCTGCAGTCAAAATACAAGCAAGAGAAAACAATGTTCATGAAAGTGTTCGAGGGTTGTTGGAAAGTGGAGCCATTGTTTATAGATGAACATTTGTGCGACACTTTGAAGCCAAAAACTAGAGAAGATTACGAAAGATGTAGCAATGGAAGAGGAAGGGTTGGGTCAAAAGTGACAATGGATCAGATGTTCCAGCCTTCTGCTATTCTTACACCACCGCCGCTTTCTTGGTACATTCGTGGGATCACCATTAAAACCACCGAGAGTATGATCGAAGATCTCCTCGCTGAGGCTGCTAGGGTCCGAGGAGGAGGAGGAGGAGGAAGAGGCCATGATGGTGATCAAGGAGGAAACGGCGTTGAATTGGAGAAGAGCAAAGTTGAGGACATTAAGGAGAGGTGGAGATCACGTAGGAGGAGTAATGGGAGGAGATTTATCAGTAGGAGATGATATAATTTAAAAAAATTGTGATTTTAGACTTTCTTGATTGTTTTGGAAATTTTTCATTGATGTATCAAAGAATGCTCTCTCATTACAAATTTCCCAAAGTTCATATCAATAGGGATCCTCTGTTTTGTACAGCTAACAGAAACTGTACTCTCCAAAAGGAAGAAAATGCTTTTAAATCTCTCACATAGTACTTTCCACATTTGATTGACCTCTTCCTAAACGTGTATGTTTCTTCTATTCTATCATCACACGTGTGAAACTTCTCTGCAAAGGAATAGAAAAAAGATAGAATAAAAAAAGTCAACAATATTCTAGAAAGGAAAGACCATTTCTTAATTCTCCATGTTTAATGAAATCAAATGAATGGCCACAAACATTGCATGAATTGGAACAACACACGTCAAAAGGTCTATAAGCTGATGTGGAATTTAACAAGAAAATATCCCTTTTTCCATCATATATATATACCCCAAAAGAAACAATCCTTGCTCAATAAGAAAGAATAAGAAGACTTTTTAACTTTCACTTTCCATCAATTTGATTAGATGAGAAAAGAAAAAAAAACGCACAATAGTATTGATTCTTTGATTATCAATCAAAAAACTAAACAAAAGACTAGCTTATACTCTCTGTATATCATCTCTTTGTGCCTTTTTCAAACCCTGACCTTGTTTTTGTCTCTGTGATTCTTGATTATCTCTGCCAGGAGATTGTCTCCAGCCACTTCTCTCATCTTCCTAACCAATTCGTCTCTCTGGATCTTCCGTTTCTGCAACAAAAACCCACATTGTATATTACAAAAATGAATTCTCAAGAGTTTTTGAGTTTTGACAAAGAAGAAAGATACCCGAAAATCATCGAAGGTTCTCAAGATCAAGTTCATCCTTGAAGAATCCATGGACTTGGACAGCATTGACATCAGGGCGGCGAAACTAACCCACGGCGAGCTTGGCCTCGCAGGAAAACCACCTCTACGCACAACTGAAACCAAAACCATCCTCAGGATTAACACACGTTATAGCCGAAATTCAAAAATTTCATTAGACCTTGAAGGAGAAAGTGTTATTATAATACCTATGAGACGAGGAGACCTGAAACTGACGATATAACTCGGTAAAATGTACGAATTCATGGTAGAGCTCCACACGACATACTTTCGAGGATTCTGGAGATTATCAACACCGGAATCGAATTCAATCGAGCTCGGTGACGACTGTTTAGAGCCGGAGATGATTAGCTCAGGCTTCCCGAGGATCAAACGGCATAAGAGAAGATGCCTTAAACCTTCTTCGTCTGGTTCTGTAGCTGAAGCCCTGCAAATATGATATTTCACTGTTACATCACCATACATCCTCCAAATTTAATCTAATCAAATTGCGATTCTAGTTTTAGTGATGAATCAAAATTGAGGTGAAATCAAATCGGGACTTAACGCTAAGAGAGAGCACTTAGAAGGAACCAGATGGATTCCGATTCCGTGAGAGGAGCCATCGTCGTTCTCGAATTTCCCGACGTCGCGGCTGCTGAATCCGTACGAGATGATACCTTCGATCTCGTCTCTGGAGCCGGCGTACCAGCCGTATTTCACATTGGGATCTCCGCCGTTCTTCCTCGCCATGGCCTCCGTGAAAATCCGAAACGCAACGTACTTCGCCCTCGTCGTGATCCCTTCCGAAAAATTCTTACGCACCGCAGCGATCGTCGTGTCGCTGGATAGGGTGCCCATGCCGGAGAGCAAACACGTCCTGATGACGTCGTGCTCGGGGTTTCCTTCGCCGAGAAGAATCATTGAGTCGGTCGAGGAGGAAGATCCAGCCGAGGAATCTGCATCGTCGGAAACTGGATCGAAGATTTCGCCATTATCAAGTTCGGTGACGGACGCTTGGTCCTCAATCTCGACCTGCGCCGCCATCACCCAAGGAGAAAGGGAAACAAAAAAACAGAGTGGAAAGTGCGAGAGAAAACGTGAGAAAAGAGAGAGAGAGGAGTTTTCTTGGGAAAAGGGAAAAAGGGAGAATGTAGAAGAAAGAAAACAGAGTTTTACAGGTGAAACGGGTCAAGTGTCATCAGAGTCGTCGTCTCTCTCCGTATAAACGGTTTTAAGCGGTGCCGTTACCCTCTGCTTGCAGGACAAGACATTTTTTTTTTGCCACGTCTTCTCCATCCTATGTATAATGACCTTATTACCCCTATGTTACTAAATTACGTTACTTACCATTGGGCGTTGCAATAAATGGCACTGTTGTTATCCTCCTACACGGCTATCTCGTTCTCATCTAAGATAAGAAGATCTTTTTGAATAAACTTTGGTTTTTCATTACCTAGAATTAATTGTTTCAAAATGAAAATTATTTGAAAATCATGATTGAATCTTAATTTTCTTGAAATAAGCTGCTACCGGTTTCAACTTTGAAGGAATCTTCTACACAAGCATTAAATTGATTTTTTTTTGTTTCTTCTAATGTAACTACATTTTAGAGACGAAAAAAGGTAATGTAAATACATTATCATTTAATATCGGAAAATGACAAAATGATCAGATTGATATTAATCATATGGGTGATAAATTTGGCTAAAAGTGATAGGTTTTCCATTAAAAGCAATGCCTTGCTTAGGTGGCTAAAGTTTGGTTTTACATATATATATATATATTTTTATGAGAAATTGTACTAATTGGTTTTTCATAACTGATAATTAAGTAGGAATAAAAGTTTATTTTTCTTTCTTTCTCTTTCTTTCTAACTAGATAAAAATGTTTTTATTACTCTTTCTTTTTCTTCTTAAATAACATAACTAAATTAATTTTTTGTTCATTTTATCATTAGCTTCGATCGATAATTTTAGTGATAATTATCGATGGTAGTGGTGGTTTTGTCGATAGTGATGATAGTCAGTGGTGATGATGGAGTCGTCAGTAGTGATCGATGATGGAGGTGGTGTTTGTGGTAATGTTGATGGGGTCAGCGATAGTAGAAGAAGTGTGGTTTTGGTGAAAGATGATGAGAAAGATGATGGATGATGCTAACAATGATGCTAGCAATAATTGCTGATGACGGTGAATTAAATGGTTATCAACATAATTTTGCTAACTTATACAGTTAACAAAGTTAACTCATATTTTTCATTAAATGATAACAACATTAGTACAATAGTTATCATGCTCACAAGATTAATACGATAATTTTTTTATTATGATAACATTATTAACGTGATAATTTTATTTTTTATTATATGATAACTGGTTAACTTGATATTTACATAATATGATGATTAAGCGTTATATTAGTTAGCATGATATTCAACAGTTATCAAGATGTCTTATTTGTTATCATGATAATCAAATAGTTATTCTCTATAACTACATCAAATAAAGCAAGTCACCATCATCTACTTTTATAGAGATAAATACAGAATAATATGCAAACATAATATGTATTTTCGTTTATTTGCTTCATATTCTTTATTTACTCATTATTTGAGGTTATAGATTAAAATTACCCTTTTTATTTATAAAAGGGCTAGATTTTACATGTTTGATAGAAAAATATCTCGAATGAGAGTATTTGGGATCTATTATTAAACTTTTTTTTATTGAAATGAAGATGGTGAATACTGAATAGAACAAGTCCAATAAAATACCAACGTTGGCGTTAAAGATAAACAATAGCGACAAGTTAATGACTCACGCCGATCAATAATAACGATGAAATGATGTATTTAGTTGGTTATGTCGGCTCAACGATAATACTTTAGCCCCATAAATAAAATAAATAACCAAGACTAAAATATTAGAATTATTATAATAAACCGCTGTTTTAAATTTTTGTTTGTTAACCGCCAAAATATGTCACTGAATCCATGACGATAAAACGAATTTAGTCGCTAAGCAATGTCAATTTCACCAAAAGTAATCCTATCATTATGCGAACATGTCAACTTCACCAAAATTAATCATCATATGACACTAACCGAACATGCCTCATTGCCTTGTATCACAATTAATAAGCCCATTGTATGAAGAAACATTGAGAGAAAAAATCGGGCTTAATTAATAATGGGCTTATAATCCAAATTAAAAGGCCCGCTAAAGAATAACCTCACTCGTCTTCTTCCCTTTTGTCTATAATCCGACGTCATCATCATTCTACCAGAGACCTCAACGAGTTACCGGGTCGGGTCGAAAAAGTCCGTTGAATTTGCGCGGTAACCCGGGATTCAAGGAGTGACAAACCCAAAAGAAACAGGGGCCAATACGAGGAAAAACAAAAAAAAAAACACAGAGAAACAAATAATATCGTAGAGCGAGAAAGAGTTTTTCTAGATCAAAGGGCACACGAGACGTGCCTACAACTTATCATCGATTTGTTAGATTCCTTTTAGTTTTTCTTCTTTTTTTTTTGTTTTCCCGGGAAAAGAAAGCGAGGGAGAGAGAGAGAGAGAGAGGCGGAGGTTCTCCTTCCGTTGACGTCTTTTATTCTGTAATATTATAGCTCGCATTTTTCTCCTCTCTCTCCACCTGATTTTAAAGTTCCTGGATTTATAAACCCTAGTTTCGAAGAGAAAATCAACGTTAATTGGTTTTTGTTGTGGGTGTTTAATTTCGTTTTGTTTGATCATTTACTCGATTCAATTGTTTCTGGGTGGTGTTTGCAGTCAATTAATTTGACGAAATAGTTCCATTAGAGGATTTTGGATGAGAGATAATTTTGTTCTTCGTCTATTGAGATAGTATCAGACGAAATTTCTGGGTTTTAAAAAAGATTAATTTTGACCGTTGTTGATTCTGTAAATAAAAACGGAAGAAGAATTCGAAAAAATGTCAGACTCAGGCGGTTCGCCGAGTTCTTCTCCACCAGCACCACCAGCCGATTCCGCTCCGCCGCCGGAGAAGTCTGCTCCTCCACCGACTACATCATCATCTCCTACCCCGCCGGCTGACTCATCACCGCCGCCACCGTCTGACGCAGAGCCTTCGCCTCCACCTCCCGATTCAATTCTTCCTCCGCTGCCTTCGATTTTACCTCCGTTAACCGGCACTCCGCCACCACCCGCAGATTCAACACCGGCAGACTCAAACAATTCTCCGCCGCCGCCAACATCCACTAAATCCCCATCTCCTCCGGCGAATTCAGAAACACCCCCAGCTCCACCAAACGAATCCGATAACCCTCCTCCATCTGCAGACGTTCAATCGCCTCCTCCGCCGTCATCTTCAACAAATCCGGAAAACCCACCGTCGGAAACTCCTCCGTCTCCACCATCAGAACCAACAAACTCACCACCGGCCCCACCATCAGACCCCACCAAACCTGCCCCAATCAATCCATCAGCACCGGCCAATTCTCCCCCGGTTAATCCAAACTCCCCGCCGAGCCCATTCCACACAGCGCCACACAGACCTAACGGTAGCTCCGGTGGACCCGTCGCGTCTCCATCTCTCACAGTCCCGAGCAGAGAAACGCCTCCCACAAACAGCAGCAGCAATGGAAGCGGCTATCAAGGCAAGACTATGGTCGGCATGGCCGTCGCCGGTGTCGCCATCATGGCGCTAATAGCAGTCGTGTTCTTAGTGAGAAGAAAGAAGAAGAAAAACATTGATAGCTATGGCCACTCACAGTACTTGCCACACACAAATTTCTCTGCAAAATCAGGTTAAAAATCTCAGCTTTTTATCTTGCTGATCATCTCTATGCTTAGCTTGTATTAAGTTAATAAACCAGCATTGGGGATGTAGATGGATTCTTATACGGTCAAGATCCTAGTAAAGGATTCTCTGGACCTGGTGGTTCAATCTACAACTCACAGCAGCAACATTCCGCTGCTACCGGAAACAGCTACGGGACCCAAGGAGGCCATCACCAAATGCAATCGCCTGACTCTGCTATCCTCGGAACTGGCCAGACTCATTTCGGCTACGAAGAGCTTGCGGACATAACTCAGGGCTTTGCTCGTCACAACATTCTCGGGGAAGGAGGGTTCGGGTGCGTCTACAAAGGTACATTACAAGATGGTAAGGTCGTTGCGGTCAAGCAGCTTAAAGCTGGGAGCGGGCAAGGTGACCGTGAGTTCAAGGCGGAGGTTGAGATCATCAGCCGTGTTCACCATCGGCATTTGGTCTCTCTGGTCGGCTACTGCATTTCGGACCAGCACAGGTTGCTTATCTACGAGTATGTTTCGAACCAAACGCTGGAGCATCATTTGCACGGTGAGTGGTGACTTTTACCATTTCTGTTATAGATCAAAGTTTTTAGCTTCATGTGTTCAGACTGACTCACTTTCACGAGTATTATCCTGATTAGGAAAGGGAATGCCGGTTTTAGAGTGGTCTAAGAGAGTCCGGATCGCTATTGGATCAGCCAAAGGGTTGGCGTATCTGCACGAAGACTGTAAGTGATTCATCATTCATAGCCTTCACATTTTGCTTCGTTGTGTGTTTTGGTTAAGCACTTCATAAGGCAGAATCACATCCTTGTTTTATTTTACAGGTCATCCGAAAATCATTCACAGGGACATAAAGTCAGCAAACATTCTGCTGGATGATGAATTTGAAGCTCAGGCAATAAACAAAACCCCCCATTTACTTTATATATCCATCATAGGAGTATGTAAAGCTTGAGTTGATGAGACTTGTTCTTAGTTTTTAAATTGTTTTTCCTGGTGTTTAGGTTGCTGATTTTGGACTTGCTAGACTCAATGACACAACGCAAACTCACGTATCAACTCGGGTTATGGGGACCTTTGGGTAAGCATTCGTTAAGCTGGATCTTAAATGATCCATTGCTTGGAGACAAGTTTTTGATTTTCTTGCGTGAGACAATACTTTTCTTGATCCTGTATGGCTTGTATTATAAGGATCAAGACTAACTTGTTTGATGTTCAGGTACCTTGCGCCAGAATATGCATCAAGCGGAAAACTGACTGATAGATCCGATGTTTTCTCGTTCGGGGTTGTTCTCTTAGAGCTTGTAACGGGACGGAAACCAGTTGACCAGAATCAGCCTCTAGGAGAAGAGAGTTTGGTCGAATGGGTAAAAAAAAAAACAATCTTTCAAACATATTCTCTCGATTACAACAAAAATATTGGCTCTGCTTTACTCAAGGCATTACTTACTTACACATGAACTCACAGGCACGCCCTCTGCTTCTCAAAGCCATTGAGACCGGAGATTACAGCGAACTCATTGATAGCCGGCTCGAGAAACATTATGTGGAGCCTCAAGTCTTCAGAATGATTGAGACAGCCGCCGCATGTGTTAGACATTCTGGTCCGAAACGTCCACGCATGGTTCAGGTAATAACCTGACTTAACCAAAGTCCAAAGCTCACATATTTTGCTCTTGTACAGTTCTTGATTCCTACATTTCTATATCACATCTGAAAAAAAAACTGATCTTGTTGGTAAAATAAGGTTGTGAGAGCACTGGACTGCGACGGCGACTCGGGAGATATTAGCAACGGAATCAAAGTTGGACAAAGCACAGCTTATGATTCAGGGCAATATAACCAAGAGATCATGAAGTTCAGGAAAATGGCGTTTGGTTTTGATGATAGCGCTGAGTCAGGGATGTACAGTGGAGATTACTCTGTCAAAAGCTCCTCTGATTTCTCAGGGAATGAATCCGAGACTCGGCCTTTTAATAACCGACGGTTCTGATCATACAACTAGGTGATATTAACACATTCCTCTGCCTCTTTCTTGAGCTCTGTAAAGCCATTTTGTTTTCGTATATTGTGTGAGATGCATTATTTCTTGGTAGGTGCCTTTAGTTTTTGTTCTCTATTGGCTAAATGCACTCAGGAAAAAGAAAGTAGAACCCAGAAAAGTTGTGAAGAGTTTCTTTGTATCTTGTTTTACTTTTTCTCCGTTCTGTGTTCCTAATTTTTGTATGAGAGTGAGGAGGATAGTGAAGAACTCTGTATTCTGATTAACACGTTCTTCCATAAATTTGTTGATTCTTTTACAAAGATTCTTACAGAATTTACAAAGAAAACTCTACATTCATCGGATTTATTTAGTGCCTTAGAGAGTATATCTGCTGTATGTATATATCACACCAGGAGACTATAAGAAGTTTGATAGCTTTAGCTCTAAGTTCCATACCCATACAGATCAATCCAGAAAAGAAAAAGCACAAAAGAAATAAAAGTAAAGGAAGCAATGAGGACATAACTTAAAGTGGTTTGGTCTTGGACAAACTAAGAATCATTAGTGTCCTGGTCGGAACTCGAAATCAGGACCTCCATGTCTGATTTCGCCTTTACCATGATGGTCTCCATTTTCCGGTAACTTAAACCTCACTCCATGTTTGATACTCGGAGGAGGACCTCCTCCTCCTCCGCCTCTTTCTCCTCTCTTGTTATCAAATCCGAATTCTATGTCATCTCCGTCTCTTCCAGAGGGTTTCTCAATTGGCCCAGGCCGTTTCATATCCAACCCAAACTCCAAATCACCTCTCTCCCTCGGCTCACGCTCCACAGGCCGAATCTCACGGCTCTTCTTAGACGACCCTTTCTCATGCTTTGGATGCTTGCTATGATGCTGCTTAGCCGCACGGCCTTCTCGGTTGCATAGCCTCCCGAAGACGCAAGCCAGAACCGACAAGACAAGGATCACGGCTAGGACTATGAAGACCGTCCCGAAGGAACCGCGTGAGCCAGAGGAAGAAGACGATGATGATGATGAAGCAGATGGGTCTGGATACTGTTTAGTGTATGCATTTGGATACACAACAACAGGCTGTTGCATCTGTTGTACTCCTTGATCTCCCATTTTCTCTCCTAGGTTTTTTGGTTTTTGTTTGGGTCTTAGGATAAATCAAGAAGTAATATAAGAAGGATATCTGAGTTGTGAGATGTTGGGGAAGTTTTTCTTCGGAGTTCCTTGAGTAGAGATTAAGGAGGGTTATGGAGAAGGTGCTTGTGAAACAAGAAATATGAATATGCTTCAATCCATGTGAGATTAGGGGTAATGTATTAGTAGTAGCATCTTGTGGTTTGAAAATAAAGTTAATAATTAGTATGTATCATACCAAAAGTGACAGGTAATGAAAGGAATATATAAGACTAATGGGTCTGAAACCAAAGCTTTTAAATTGAGAGAACATTCTTTGTTGTTTTTCTTTCTTTTCTTTTTATAAAGAAAGACAACTAAAGAGATTCTTTGTGATGTGTAAGTGCAAGGAGAGAGATGTACTTTGTGAGAAGACAAAGTGGGATTTTGTACAATTTCATATTTTCCAAGAAAAATCAAAAGATTTATGGAGTGAGCTTAACCAATCGTTTACTCCTCTATATTCCCATTGCTCACTATTTTACACACAAATACTTACGTACTTATAATGTAGTATGCGCGTGTGTGTGTGTGCATGATTTATCAAGAGAACCTAAAAAAAAATTGAATACGTAATTTCACACTCACTTTATATCGAACAAGTGTATTTATTTATGTATATTTTATTTCAAGAGCTATTATCACCCGTTCTTATATCATACTTATGTTCAAGATAAGATTTTGTTTCGTCTTGTGATGATTTGTTTCGAGTAATTGGAATCATTGGATAAAGGTATCTAAAATGTTGTGGGGCTCCACGAGAAGGAAATGGTATAAAGTTTAAACAATATTGGGATTAGCGTAAGCACGCTTTTGTGCTCTTTCATGCCATTCTTTTATTTTTCACTTGATTATGTCTCTTTAAATAGTTGAATGTTTCTTGTGTTTGTGTATAATGGGGTCACCTTTTGATTTTGATCGCATCTTTACTTCTTTCCGTTAAAAAAAAAGGAGACAAAAACATTTTTCTCAATAATTTATAGCCGCAAATGTTCTCTAAACTAAACAGATTTGTAATTTCATCCTCTAACAGTAGTAGTAACTCAAGTTTGAATTATCACCCGTACTAATGGGCGTATAGGCCCATAAATTATACGGATCTTAAGTCCATGATGCTACTACAATTTCACTTAGGAGCCGGCAAAAACATCCCTTCACGTAGCTCTCGCTTGTACGACAAGAAAGAAGCCACGAGAGTTGCGCTGCGTAAACGTGTCGTACACTTCACCTTCGTTAGTCTTTCAGTTTCATAGTATTAGATACTTTTCTTTTGATTTTTCTGCATATTATATTTTGTTATGAATCTATCTTTATTCTAAGCTTCCTCAAATCAATATATACAGTACAGTCCTTGTCCCGTTGACTTCCTTTCCTCTGCAAGTCCACTCTCTCTTTGTCTCTTTCAGACATATTTCTTAGGAGAGAAATGGGCGTATTTCCTGGATTTGGTAGCTGGATCAAGCAGAACACTCAGCAGCCTCCAAAGGTTAGTTCATTTCCATCAATCACAGAACCCTTGGAAGGTACGTTGATTATAGGAACTTGATTATGATTTTGTTTGTTGTGGTAGGGTGAGTCCAAGAAATCTGGGAATGTTAAAACTAAGTCAGCTTCAGAGACAAATACTCACGAAGAGAGAGATGAGATGAAGGAGCAACTAAAGCTTTGGAGAGATGCAGATAAGAAGGAACGACAATGGCAAGATCCCCCTCCTAAAGTGAAGGTAAGACCAAATAACCTAACAATTTTCTCAACTCCTTAGGCTTCAATGGTGGTAGTTTAGTTTTCGGTTTAGGATTTTAGCTTTAGAGTTTTGGTTTTTGTATTTTTTTTGTTTTTATAGGGTTTCTAGTTTTTCTTAAAAAATAAATAATGGAGCACAAGTCTCATAAAAATTGTTCCTATAGTTTTTTATGATAAATATTTTTCCAAATCTTTGAATGGGAAATAATGAGGAGATTTAAGAAGCTAAAAGAAAAAAAAATGCCAAAACAATGACCATCCATTGCCTTAGATATCTTGTCTTTAGAGTATATTGATAAAAATACTAAAAACAACCTAATTTTTTTCTTGTGTATTTTATGTTAAAAGGTGACAACATAAAAGGGTGTTTGCCATATGAACATGGAATTTACATTAGGATTGCCTCCTCAAGCAGCTTACGACGTTTTAACTAATCCAGACAACCAATCATACTCCAGACTCGTTAACGAGCGCGAACTTCTGGTTTCTGTCTTTTAACTTGTCATTGCATGATTTGAATGAGTATGGTAAGAACATTTGAGAGTGATGATGTTTTTTTTCTTATGAAGGTTAACATATCAAGAAAAATTCTGTCGAACGATGGAACGACGTAAGTTCTGGAGGCAAAGAAAGATGTGGCTTGGAACATCTTTTCGTGGTCTCGAGCCATCCCGATAAGTCTATTTTTAGAAGAAGACGAGAAAGATCTTTCTGTAAGAAACTTCTCTCATGAGTATTAATCTTATTTATTTAGTTTTTGAGAAAACTTTATTTGGATTTTCTCTTGCTTATCATCGGCAGGTAGTATATATGAAAGATAAAATGAAGTTCATGAAAGTGTTCGAGGGTAAATACAAAGTGGAACCAATATACGTAGATTCAGCACGCTTTTGCAAGCAAATAAAACCGAAAAATCGAGAAGAATACAGAAAATGTAGCGGTGGACAAGGAAGAATTGCATCGAAAGTGGTTATGGATCAATACTTTCAACCCTCCTCTCTTTATAATTTGCCACCCCTTTCTTGGTACATTCGTGGGATCACCATCAAGACCACTACAAATCTTCTTGAAGATCTTCAAGATCGGGGTCTCATGATCCGACGAGGTGTTTGAAACACTCCAAATTAACTCAGCAGTATCGATCGGTTATATCGTTTTTTGTAGTAATTATATTTCTAGTGTTCTAATAGTTAGATATTTTTTATTTAATAAACAAAACAATGAAATATAATCAATTGTGTATGGTGACACTGTACGTGTGTTGTGTGCGACCGGATGAGTTTTAATGTTATATATCTTTACAACTTTGTCTCTTTTCATATTTCATATTTCATATGCTAAATATCATATAGTCCAAATTTCTAAAACTTTTCGTTTCATATTTCATATCATAAAACTATAAAAGTTATGCTTGGATGCATCTCGTTACGTGCGTGTAATTTATGGAGTATTTTCAAATTACTCCAAAGATATTTGTGGTTTTTAATATTTATCATCACTTCTAATTAAACTAGGGAAATGTGGCATTATAAATGCCTGATATTTTTCTTTTAATTTACCGAAATTAATCACGAGAATTGAGCTGCCAAGTTTCTTATTTTCGTGGTACGTAAACGTGACGTACAACCGTAGGTATTCTTTTAATTTCATATTATATTTTGTCTAAAAATAATGTGAATCCATCTGTAATCTAAGATCCCTGAAACCATATGTACATAATACTATACAGGTTGTGTCCTGTTGACTTCATTTCCTCTATAAGTCAACTAGTTCTTTGGCTCTCTAACACCTTAAACACTCTTTTTGTATCAACATTTCTCTTTCTAGAGTAAAGTTTCAGATAAAAATGGGTGTATTTCCTGGATTTGGTGGCTGGATTAATCAGAGCACTCAAAAAACTCTTATAAAGGTAAGCTTCATTTCAATTCATCAGAGGACCCGGCCGAAGAATTCAGATCAATGTAAGTTTTTAGAAAGTAGATTATGATTATGTTTGTGTTATGTAGGCTGAGTCCAAAAGATCTGGAAATGTGAAATCTAAGTCAAGATCAGAGATAAATACTCAAGGGGAAAGAGATGAGATGAAGGAACAACTAAAACTTTGGAGAGATGCAAATAAGATAGAACAATGGCATGATCCGCCTCCTAAGGTGAAGGTAAGACCAAATCACTTACCAAAATCTCAATACCTTGATTCTTTTGCCTTCATAGAACTTAATTAAGAAGAAAGATCCCAAAATTTTCTTATATTTTCTTATGTTTAAAGGTGGAAATAGTAGAGGGTCTTTGCTTTATGGACATGGAATTGATATTAGGATTGCCACCTCAAGCAGCCTACGACGTTTTAACTAATCCAGACAACAAACCATTCTCTAGAATTATTAACGGACGCGAACTTCTGGTTATCTCTTTGCACTTATATCATTGAATGATTTTGTATCTAATATTTACAAAAATAGTGTAATTTTTTTTCCCTTATGAAGCATAACAAATCAAGAAAAGTTGTAACAAATGATGGATCGAGATATGTTGTGGAGGTGGAGAAAGAAGTTGCATGGAACTTTCTTTCGTGGTCTCGAGCTATCCCGATCACTCTAGATTTTGCTGAAAGCCAAAAAGATCTTTCTGTAAGAAACTTGTCTCTACACTCACAATAACTAAATCTTTTGCAAGAAATTAATTTGGTTTTGTCTTTGCTTATTTGTGGGGCAGACAGTATATATGAAAAAGAAAATGATGCTCATGAAAGATTTTGAGGGTAGCTGGAAAGTGGAGCCAATATTCGTAGATTCGCAACGCTTGTGTAAGCAAAGATTGCCCAAGACTCGAGAAGAATACAGAGAATGTAGCGGAGGACAAGGAAAGATTGCGTGGAAGGTGAAAATGAACCTGACCTTTATGCCATCTTCTCCTTTTAATCTGCCACCGGCTTCTTGGTACATCCGTGGGACTATCATCAAGACCACCAAGGCTCTGCTCCAAGACCTTCAAGCTATGGGTGCAAAGATCCGTGGTGTTTGAAATCTGGTATTGATCGATGATAGACATTAAATAGTGTTCCAAAATCACGTTATTATAAATTCGAATAGCATTCTAATGATCTTCCAATTCACTTTATTCATCTCAAAGATTGAGTATCATGTTATAAAAATCCAAAGATTCCAAACCCATAGTAGTTTCAACCAAAAATAGTAAAATACTGACAAAGTTGTAGTGTGTGTATTTGTATTTGAACATATTTCCACAGTAAGAAAAAAAAACATAGTCGTTTTAACACGTAAGTAAACGACTGTGTTTTCCATTTTAGACACCTGTGGGCTTATAGGCCCATTCACTACGGATCTAAATCAATGGTTCTCGAAGTTCACGTAGGGCCCATCAGAAACATTCTTCATGCAGTTACCTTGTACGTCAAGAATGAAGTCATGAAAATTGAGCTGTCCAAATATTTTCTCTGGGCGGTACGTAAACGTAAGGTACACTCCACTTTCGCTATTCTTTCGATTTCGTATCATATTTTGTTTATTTCTGAATTCATATTTTATCTACGGTCCCTGAAACCATATCTTGTCTCATATTGACTTATTTTCCTCTGTAAGTCAACTCTTTCTTATGTATCTCCAACTATCAATCTGACATTCTCTTTGGATCCTCACTTTCTCTTTGTCGACTAAATTTTCAGAGAGAAATGGGTATATTTCCTGTACTTGGTGGCTGGATCAATCAAATCACTCAACAGCCGCTTCAGGTCAGTCTCATTTCCATCAATTCGAAAATCCCAAAACTCTATATTGAGTTTTATACTCAGAATTCTTCTTTATTTTCATCAATTAGAAGAAAGAAATGATAGAAACAAAATTTCAGACGACAATAATAGAAAAGAAGAATAACCAAATGATGTTTTTTTCTCTCTCTATTAAACCCATGAGGAAAAACATCTTCGGATTTTCCTCTAAACTGAATTTTCTATTCTTCTAGTTTTTTCCTCCTAATTCTACTTATTACTATTTTGATTAAGTAAAACAGAGAATGGATTGTATATGATTATGTAATTTATGTTTGCATTTGTAGGCTGAGTCCAAGAAATCTGGAAATGCTAAATCTAAGTCAACGTCAGAGACAAATACTCACGAGGGGAGAGATGAGATGAAAGAGCAACTAAAACTTTGGAGAGATGCAAATAAAAAGAAACAATGGCATGATCCCCCTGCTAAGGTGAAGGTAAAGACCACATCACCTTACAAAATCTCAATACTTTTTTACTTTTTGCCTTAATAGAACTAAGAAAAAAAAGATCCCAAATGTTTCTTACGTTTGAAGGTGGAAACAAGAAATGATCTAGAAAGAGGTCTTTGCCATATGCAAATGGAATTTACATTAGGATTGCTTCCTCAAGCAGCTTACGACGTTTTAACTAATCCAGACAACCAATCATACTCCAGAATGATCAAAGGCCGCGAACTTCTGGTTTGTTAGCTTATCATTGTATAATACAAATGTGTAATGTCTTACAAAAACAAATTTGAGAGTGTAATATTTTATTTACGAAGGAAAACGTATCAAGAAAAGTTACGTCGGAGGATAGTGGAAAAGGGCAGATCGTGGAGTCTGAGAAAGCTTTGTCATGGAACTTTCTATCGTTCTCTGGAACTATCCCAATACATCTATATTTCATCGAAAACCCAAGAAATTTTTCTGTAAGAAACCTGTCTCTATCTCTCATCACAAAAATCAATTTTTTGTCAGTTTTGGAAAAACATAATTTAGGGTTTCTCTTGCTTGTTGTCTGCAGGTACAATTTGGGAAAGAGAAAAAGGCAATGAGGTTCATGGAAATGTTCGAGGGTAGCTATAAAGTGGAGCCAATGTACGTAGATTCAGAACGCTTGTGCAAGAACATAAAGCCCAAGAGTCGAGAAGAATACAGAAAATGTAGTGGAGGACAAGGAAGGATTGCGTCGAAGGTGACATTCGACCAGATCTTTAAGCCTTCCTTCTCTTTTCAATCTGCCACCGGTTTCTTGGTACATTCGCAGGATCATTGTCAAGACCACCAAGAATGTGGTCTATGATCTCCAAGTTCAGAGTGAATTTATCCGAGGTGTTTGAAACGCTATACACCGTTTTGATAAAAAATTATTAACCAATAATGTTCTAAAATTACTTTATCATGATCTCGACAATTCTTATAGATTAGAATGTGAACTGTGATCACAACCTACATATATACTGATAAGTGATAACATTAACATGTTTTTATAATTTTGGCTCCAGTGGCCATAATCTCATAATACGCAACGAGATCATGTAACTAACCAGTCACATTATATACTAAACCCTAGTAATTACAAATGAAGCAGAAGAACATATGATTCTTCACACTAAAAACAGAGAACATATTATTCTTGGAAATAAAACTATAATTAATGATGTCACGTATGTATATATTTGTTCTTCACTGAGTCATGCCGTTACCTGGAGCCTGAGGATTGTTGATGAGACTAAGAAGAGAATTATACATCTATACGTAGACAATTTTGGAACCGAGACATAGAATTTTTATTGAATATTATTTGCGAAGACTGAGCATATATTCATTAAATCTCCAGTACCGAAGTTTGTTGCTCCTGCCAAGTAGCTTAGCGGTACTGTTTCAAGAACCGCAAATTTTCTTGTACCCATATCATATAGACTCTTCAAATAACCGAAAATATATATAAAATAAAATTAATTATTTTTCGGAAAAATATAATCACACGACTATGTTATATCCTGAAAAATATTAAGGTTGTACGTTAAATAAAGTATCACTAGGTGGTTGGCCCGCACATATGTGCGGGTATAATTTTTTTGATATACATAGTTAATTATAATATTTAAATTTTAAATATTTATATGTTTGTATATATATTGTTTTAATATTTCACAAACTTTTTTCTGAAATTAATGTATTTTATTACTTTTATTTTTATAATGCTTGTAATAGTATATAATCACAAATATAAAAGTTATGTTAAATAATAATTAAATTCTTATAATATTAATATGCTTTATTTTTCCTTACACAATCTACAATATGCTTTTTTGCGTCTTACATAATATGAGTTTGTAAATACATATATAATATATTTTAAGTATATATTCTTCTTGATTTATTGCAAATTAAACTGAAATAATTTTTACCATTTTTACTTATTCCTAAGAGCGGATAGATGGTTGGCACGCATGTGCGGACATACCAATCACTTCACTACACTTAGAATAATAAAGATTTTAAAAAAAAATATAAATTGGATAATTATTAAAATAAAATTAGACTGTAACCAATCTTAATAAAATACATGCACAAAAAAGTTCGCATGTGACTTTAACTAATGTACAACTAATATTTATATATGTACGCGTATTTGTAAAAAAATTGAAATATGACGACCAACCCTAATGGAGAACTTATTAAGAAGGTCTTAAAAATATTTTATTATTTATTTTAGACACTGTGTGTCTTAACTCAACAAAAGTATCATATTTTAGACACTGTGTCTATTTTTTAAGACCATTTCACTATTTTTTATTCATTTTTATTATTAAGATCTTTTGTTTTAGACACTCAAATTTCTCCATTAGGGCTGTTCTTACGTGTTAAAATTGTTTTAAGTGACTTTGTAAAACAAAGAGCGAGAGATTTTTTTTTTATATACTTCTATTTTTATCTCTTATTCATATTGTTTCTTCTTATTATAATTTATTCTTTCGATTATTTTTTAATTCATTTATGATCTCAAAATTTTGATATACAATGAAAACAAAATTATGTATATATATTAATATGATATAAATTTTTTTTTATTTAAAATATGATAAGAGATAAGATGAGATGGTAACATAAATTATGCGCATTTTAGAAAACAACAATAAAAAGATGATAAAAATTATAGAAAAATATATGGTCCTATTAAGATTATAAAATAATAATTAGTATATACTTTATTTTTTTAGTAAATATTGGTTTGAAAATATTTTTTTTAAATTACGTTTTTTTTTTAAAAAAATCAATAAAAGTTATTTATTTTTATTATTTTTAACATTTTATTCTTTAAATTATTTTATCATGATTGTATTTTATTTAAAATTGTATTATTTAATAATTTGTTTATTTAAAACTTTTTTAGATTTAATTAATAACTTTCCGAAATAAAAATATATCATACTTAAAGTATTATTAATAAATATAATTTTTACTATTCTATTGGATAATTTAATATTATTTTTTTATTTTTATATGAAATTATAATATATATATATATATTTATGAAAAAATTCATAATTTTTTTTTATGAAATTATGAATATATGTAAAAAATTAAAATTATAATAACTTTTATTTTCTGTTAATTTAAATTTGTTAATTTTAGTGTTATAAATATAATTTAGTTTATTTATGTTTTAGTTCCATAATTTATATAATTTCAATTCAACTAATCAAAACATTTCATTTATTTTAGGAAGTTTGACATGTCATATTTACATGTCATCAATTAAAAGCACCAACTTTGATTGTAGTGTTGACAAGTAAGCAATTTTCATAATGTTACTTCTCAAATAATATGTAGTGGATTAGTCCAAGTGACCAAGAAATTTGCGTAGGCTGAACTATTAGCTCTCGCTTGTACGTCAAGAAAGAAGTCACGAGAATAAAGCCGCCCAGTTGCTTTTTTTTTAATTGGGGTACGTAAACGTGAGGTACACTCCACCTTAGGTATTCTTTCAAAATTTCTGTCTAAATCGGAATCCATCTTATCTAAGATCCTTGAAGCTATATAATTTACAAGCGTTTTTCCGTTGACTTCCTGTACTCTGTAAGTCAACTCTCTCCCTTTGTCTTTCTAGCTATCTCTCAGACACTTTCTTTGGACCGGCATTTTCACTTTGTGGAGTAATTTTCAGAGAGAAATGGATATATTTCCTGGATTTGGTGCGTGGATCAATCAAAACACTCAACAACCTCTTAGAAAGGTTAGTTCTATTTCCATCAATCAGAAGAGATAGTGAAATCAATCTATATTACAATATATATACCCGTTAATTATAGAAATTAGATTATTATTATGTTTGTTGTTGTAGGCCGAGTCTTCCAAGAAATCTGAAAAAGTTAAATCTAAGTCAGCGTCAGAGATAAATACTCACGAGGAAAGAGACGATACTAATGAACAACTAAAACTTTGGAGAGACGCAGAGAAGAAGGCGCCATGGCATGATGCCCCTCCTAAGGTGAAGGTAAGACCAAATCACCTAACAAAATCAGTACGATCTTCATATATGCATGCTAGAATTAAGAAACAAAATTCTGTTATACCTTTTATGTTTGAAGGTGGCAACACAAGAAGGTATCTGCGTTATGCAGATGGAATTTACATTAGGATTGCCTCCTCAAGCAGCTTACAACGTTTTAACTAATCCAAACAACCAACCATACTCAAGAAACATCAAGAAGCGCCGACTTATGGTTTTATTTTCTTTTAACTTATCATTGTATGATTCAAATGAGTGTCATAACAAAATTCGAGAGTGTGATATTTTCTTATGAAGGAAAACATATCAAGAAAAGTTGTGTCGGAAGATGAACCAGGGCCAATCGTGGAGGTGGAGAAAGCTGTGCCTGTGGTCTGGAACTTCCTTTCGTTCCCAATAAGTCTAGTTTTCGCCGAAAACCGAAAACATCATTCTGTATAGAAACGTCACTCTATCTCTCACGAGAATCAATCTTTTTGTTTGGTTTTTAAAAAATAATAATTTGTGGTCTCTCTTGGCTTATTGTTTGGTAGGGAGTATATGACAAAAAGAAAATTATGTTCATGAAAATGTTTGAGGGACACTGGAAAGTGGAGCCAGTATATGTAGATTCTGTACGGTTGTGCAAGCACATGAAGCCGAGGACTCGAGAAGAATACAGAAAATGTAGCGGTGGAGAAGGAAAGATCGCATCGAAGGTGACAGTAGCTGGAGTCTTTCAGCCTTCTTCTATTTTCAATCTGCCACCTCTTTCTTGGTACATTCGTGGATTCACCGTCAAGACCACCAAGACTCTGCTCCAAGATTTTCAAAACTTGGCTGCCTCGATCCGAGGTGTTTGAAACACACCAATTCATGTAGTCTCCAACATTTTCAAAATTTTGGTAGTGTTTTAAAACCCACTTTATTGTAAAATCTGGATAGCAGAATACTAATCTTCAAATTCAAAAATAAAAATCGAAGACAATGTAAGATATATTATCAATATGACCATGTTTACTTTGTCCTCTCGTATACATTTGTCCTGAATATCGAACTTGGAAGAACAAAATTTGGTCTTTCAACTCGTATGAGTGGTTTGGTCTATAGATTTTCTATACGTTTCATCTCATTTTAGATAAGAGATTTCTAAATAATTACATAGCCCAGTGAGTTTAGTTTAATAAATTCTCTAGATTCTGTCATTCAAATAGCATAAATAAAATTATGGTTTTTTTGATAAATAACTCTTTCGAGAACTTCGAGCAACAAACATGACAATTGACAAACACTAGCATAAATAAGTATACACAAATATAAGTTTGTATCTTGAATTCTTATAATATATATACTATAGTACTAGATTATATATGGGTAGCATTATACACTATATATAGCTGGTCCGAGAATCACTTTTTGACGTCCACTTAACTTTTTCTAGTCCATGTAAAGGCCAATTCAGAAATTAAATTCAAGACAGCCATGTATGCTATTACGGACTATATAGTTTACGTAATTATTTTGGTTTAGAGAAGACGTGAATGGTTGGCCAAAAAAATAAAAAGGCAAGAGAAATGTCAATGAGTCGATAGTAAAGATCCCAAAAAAATCTGTGAAGAGAAACAAACACTAGATTTTATTTTGTCACAACTTATTTCTGGAAACAGAACAACATTATAGCAAAGTTTAATGAAGGAAAAAAAGAAAACAAAACAGGTAGAAATTGATCATGCGAGTTTCGGCTTGAGGTCTGCTACAATACTTGGTGCAATCGTTAGATATGACCTCTCGGTCGGGTGCGCAATGTCCCAAAAGACGTAACGAGATGCATCCAAGCACGGAACAATCGACGTCGGCGTACAACAACATCCATCCCTCGCATCAATAAACCCTAATAATTCCCAATTAATTAGAAGAACAAATCAATCTTTACACCAAAAACAAAGAACATACTGTACTATTCTTAGAAACATAATTATAATAATATAACGCATAAATTAATGTTTCCATCGAGTAGCCATGCGTTACCTGAAGCCATAGGATTGTTGATGATATTAAGAAGAGGATTATACATGTCTACGTAAGCAAATTTCGCACCAGCAAATTGTGTCCCAATATTGTCAACCAACGCAGATAATTTTTGGTTGAACATTGTAGCCAATTGATTTGCAGGGACTTGACACATTTTTAAAACATTCCCAAAAGTGTTTGTTGCTCCGGGCAAACAACCCAGTGGTAGCGTTCCCATAATCGCAAACTTTCTTGCACCCATATCATATAGACTCTTCAAAAGAAAATATATATAAAGTAATTAGTTTGATGACGATAAAAACAAATTTGTCTCCACAAAAGAAAAGTAATGACACAGTTATTTTGTACCTTAACAAGATTCTGAGTATACGTGATCAGGAGATCAGTGTAAGAAAAAACAGTGTATTGTCCCATCCTAGTCGGGAAGGCGATGGCAAGATCGTTATTTCCAGCTGATATTAAGAAAACAGCGTTTGATATAACTGCGTTTGCTTGGCTTCCTACAACGCCGTTAAGTTTAGCGGTATAGTCTTTGAAATCATTCAGCTGATCTTGAATCGATAAAACTGCCTGTATATACACTCATTCCATATATATACATCAAAATCAAAATAAAAATTTAAGAATGATTTACAAAGTAACTCTAAAGAAAGAAAAGTAAATTTATACTGTTATTCTTGGTGTGCGGTCATCGAGTCCAGATCCACCGGATGCGAAACAAACACCGGTCGGAAGATCATTGTTCGAAAGGCTCGGATCGCGGTAAGCTGGTAAGATAGGTTTTATGCCCAAACCCTCGGCTGCACAAAAATATAAAAAGACTACTGTCAAATAAAATAAAATAAACTTTTTTATTATTGAAAATGAAACCATATAATTAGCTATTGAAAATTAATAATAACAGATATTGACGTTAACATCTATATATATATATATATACCAATAATATCGGAAAAAACTCTTCCATTTCCGAATCTTCCGGTTGGTCTGCCGCCTATAAAATTTCTTCCATAGGGAAAGAAATTGCATTTCGAGAGAGTCGGGAGTAAGTTGTTATTGCCCGTATCGAGTATCGAATCTCCAAAAGCGAAGAGTGCTGAAAATGATGAATTTTGAGCATGAACAACATAAAACGAGGAAACAGAAGACAATGCTAATGCTAGTAGCATCGTAGAAAGCAAAGAGAAATTCATATTTTTTGGTATCAGTTAATATGTATTATATTGATGAATATTTGTGTGTAAAATGAAAAAAGCTGATGAATTCAACGTTACAAGAAGGCTAGTATTTATACACTGAGGAGAGTTGAAAGAAACGGTACATTCAAATCCAACGGTTTTTGATTTCGAATGAATGAGAGTGTTTAAATTTTGGAAACAACTCAAATCCAATGAACTTTTGAGAGAATATTCAGTATTTAGTATAATCTTGAATACGCATAAGAAAATTACCCCATAATTGGTCAATGAATTTGACGTGGACGTCCTAGTTGTGTTTTTCGTTCCACTAACAACTACACAGGTGGCTAGGTGCTTATCATGTACATGATTATCTTCATCCTCTAGTCAAAATGATTGCTAGTAAAAATTGGAAAGTAGATCATTTCCTGGATTACCATGAATCATATGATAAGCTTTTGGAATTTTGTCATGCATGCACATATAGATACAATAATATTTCTATAGTAATTAATATATAGTAATATACACAATAAGTATATATCATAAAAAAAGGCTGGCAAACAAAATATATATAATAAATAAAAGAAACAAAATGTTTTGTATAACTTCGAGCATTCTTATCGGCAGATATTAAATTATATATTTTAATAAAGTAATTAAAATTTAAATATAAAAATAATTGAACCATCCATATATATTAACAAATAGATTTGGAGTATCTCATCTTTTTTTTTGAAAGTTTCTCAAACGAGAAATATATCCCTCTCTCTTTATTGCTTTTTCAATATTTTTTATTTATTTAATATTGAGATACCCAATAAAAATTGCCAATAATAATGCTTTTGAAAAAATATGCGTAGCCTGGTGAACAAACAAAACATGGCTGTGGAAAAGATTCTACAACACTTGCCATCAAATAAACTATGTAGTTCAAAGGTTTTGGAAGTTAATTAGTAATGCCAAAAACAAAAACTAATTAGTATTTTTTGGTGAATTTTTTAATTCCATTCTACAATACTTAAAAAACTTTTTAAAATTCTTATCATTCCATGTTACAACCAAAGTCAGAGGTTATTTGACAAATATGCAACAAATTTGCGTAAGAGTCCTCGTTTCCGATCGACAAGACATTTGATTATATACTTCTTGCATACGTTTTCTCCATGCATTCTTCCACTTTGTGTTCTTATGGTTTTCAATCAATTCGTTAAAAATCCCTTTCATAATCCCATGATGTCTACTATCAAAGTAGCCGCAGTTCTAACTAGTGGAATCGTAACATGCAACAACAACAAAAATCACGAAACAGTAGCTTAAAATCTTCGATTACAGTTTTACCAAACTATATAAAAGGTTGTAGTTTCTATGTTCTACGTACAAAAGACCCCTTCCTTACACAAATCAGAACAACAATCACGAAATCAATCCACATACCTCAAAAATAAAGAACAGAACGATAAGAAAACCAGAGAAACAAAAAAAAATTCAGATAATGTTTGCCCCTGCATCCAGATTTGCCCCAGCAAAATCAACTCGACCACGAACCTTTCCCTCTACGCCTGCAAGAAACCAGCAACACAGGAACACAAAAGCAACAATTACAAATTTGCACACCAAAAAAAAAAAAAAACGGAAACCAAATAAATTGTTGTGATAGACGTTTATTACCTTGCCGGCAATGTTGTTGGACAACCAGTCAAGACCTTCGTAAAGCCCTTCACCTGAAGTAGCACAAGTGCTCTGAATGTACCTGGAGAGAGAGAGAGAGAGAGAGAGAGAGAGAGAGAGAGAGAGAGAGTACATAGACATAAATCGACCAAGCTTATATCATAAGAAAACAAGCTATGCAAGAGGATTAAACCAAAGGAATATGTTTTCTGTACCAGTGACGCTGACGGAGAGAGTGCAGACCAAGCTTATCAGTGATTTCAGCTGCGTTCATGGCATTTGGAAGATCCTGTTTGTTAGCAAACACGAGCAGAACAGCATCACGCAGCTCATCCTGTAAGAACCCGATAAATTGTTTTGGTAAGTTTCTATCTTACTACAATCACAAAACACTGGAATCATCTGGGCATCTACGAATGAAATCACTACTACAGGCAAATAAACACTAGAAACAGACCTCATTCAGCATTCTGTGCAATTCATCTCTGGCCTCAACAACACGGTCTCTGTCATTGCTGTCCACCACAAAGATGAGGCCTTGAGTGTTCTGGAAGTAGTGCCTCCACAAGGGACGGATCTGCCAAAGAAGTTGCAGGTTTTGTGCCATGTCAGTTTATGTGGTACAAAAGTCCATCAACAATAAGATCACCACGGTGTGGTGCAAAATGAGCTTATTAATGCTTTAATAGTTGGATAATCATAATACCTTGTCCTGACCCCCGACATCCCACACTGTGAAACTGATGTTCTTGTACTCCACAGTCTCAACATTGAACCCTGTCAACAAATTTGTAGTTTAATCATCAAAGGCCGATTGAAGCAAAAGCTGTATGAATGGTATAAACATAAGTGACTAAGGATACATATACATATTGCTAAGCTACTTTATATCAGAAACCTCTTTGTTACCATGTTGTAACAAAGCTTTTATAAACCGAGTGAATTATGAAGTATGAACACAACTGACCAAAAATAAATACACATATTGCTAAGCTCATCTATATCAGAAACCACTTTGCTTCCATGTTGGAACAAAGCCTTTGAAAACTGAATTATGAAATGGATGTGAAAACTGACCAATAGTGGGAATGGTAGTGACGATCTCTCCGAGCTTGAGCTTGTACAAAATGGTGGTCTTACCAGCCGCATCGAGACCAACCATGAGAATTCGCATCTCCTTCTTGGCAAAAAGCCGGCTAAAAAGCTTGGCGAAAGACAAACCCATCCTGCTTCACTGGGGAAACCACAAGACACACAGAATCAGAGTGGCGGTATCACAAGCAATGCATTACCAACTGCGAAAGTAATTCTAGATCGCGAGAGAAAATCCGAAAAACGTTACTTCAAAAATATCAAAGCTCTTATAATCTCTGTGAAACCTTGTAAGTTCCGTGAATATTGACTATATAAAACTCTCTGAACAAACACATATGTACAATTAGAATAAGGTAGATCCAAACAGATGCAATCTAATGCTCTCATCGTATAGATCGTCAAGCTAAATGATGCAATTTCGGCGAGAAGAGGTGAATCACGAAGATAATTTTCATAGATCCAGATTTTAGACGCTGCAGTAGCAGATCGAATCATAGTTTTCGATCATAACATCGAAATCTCAAAGCATTACCAAAATAATGAGCAGCATAAACCTAAATCAAAGCAAGAGATCCAATTGCAAAACCATGAAACTGAAAAAATGGTACTGCAGCTTAAGAACACACAATGGACAACCAGAAAATTCGTTCGTATTTGAGAATTGCATAAGCATAGATCTAGATCATGCGTACCTCTGCGTGAAAGTTTCGGAGCTATCTGAGAGAGAAACAGATCGCGTAACAACGAAGGAGGGAGACACGAAGGAGAATTTGAAAGAGAGAGAGAGAGCTTCAGAACAACGCTAAATGCGCGACGCCGTAATGTTAAAACGGAGAAGATCTTTATAGAGGCGAAGGATGAAAATGTCAATTCACGAATATGCCATTGAAATTACCGAAAGTACCCTTCGAAGACCGATTTGCAGAATGTTTTTCGTGGAGGTGGCTTGAGCTTACGCGGTTTACATGCGATGATGGGTGATTGGCCATGGATGGCATCTGACCACTCATAACTCGCCACGTCATTATCAGTGCTCATTGATGTTGACTTATTTATTTGTATGATTCCCATAATTTTATTTGTAGGACAAATAGGATGTTTAATTCTGATTTCGGTTTGCATTATACTATGATTTTTAAATTTTTTGGTTTGTGAATGTTTAATACGTTTCTGGTTTCTATATGTTTTGGTATACGTCTTGAGTTTCTGAAAAGATTTTTGTGATGTAGAAAAAGTGAATCCATTTAAATCATATATATCAAAATATGATTTGGATTTTGGATTGGTTAAGGAGAAATGTTAAGTATGATTAGTGAGAAGTTCATTGGTATAAACCATAACCACATTTTTATATCATAACAACATAAAAAAATTCCTACTAGTAATACAATTGAGTATGTTCAAAAAAAAAATACAATTGAGTAAATTGGAAGAATTAACTTTGTTCAACCAAGATCCAAATCCCTAATTATTCTAAATCAATAGCAAAAACATTTGTTTCACAAATCCAAAACTCTTGCCTAAACGGTGGGAACAATAGTGCCAATATAACCAACTCCAGCAACAAAAAATGCAAAAGCCTGTAAAAACAGATAAACATAGAAATATGATCCTCCATAAGCGAAATCGTAGCATCCGCAGAGGAATATATATAATCCAACAACGAGCTCCCTCCAATTTATTCTGCAAAATATAAAAACTATATATTAGTTACAACACAACATTCAAAATGCTTTTTGAAGTATGTGCGTTTTATAATTTAGTTACCTTTGTCCAAATCTAGTATAAAGCTTAGTTGTAGCTTTAGGTATTAACTTAGACTTGAGAGTATCTCCTAGTTTCTCAGTAACAACCCATTCGTTAACCCGTCCTGCCTCTAGTAAACCGATGAATGTAGCCTTAGTGCGATGCATCGACATTACATTCTCGAATAAGATCCAAAATACAAGAAGATGGAGTGATCTGCACTTGACAATTATCATATCATAATAAGAAAAATAAGAAAATGGAGTACAGAGAGAAAATGTTAGAGATGTTTAATTACCGAGGTGTAGCGAGAGCGTTAAGGATAGTGATTGTAGTAGGAACATAAACAGTTGCCCATTTAGGAACTTGGAGCTCAGGGAACAGAACAGTTGTTGGTAAGATGAGACAGTAGAAGACAAATGTGAAGATGTGTACTACAATCTTCCTTATGAAGAAGAAATTGTAAATGAGATACAGTTTCTTCCACGCAGAAACTTTCTTGTTCTGTAGAATCTCCATTGTCATCTTCCTCCATAGATTAGCTGGTCCACAAGACCATCTATGTTGTTGAAACCGGTATGCTTTGAATGTGCTTGGCAATTCATTTTTCACCTGATTTTTGGAAAAGTCTTGAGAATGAAAAAAAGAAACTTTGATATTGAGTTTTTTAAAGGGTTTTTTTGTTGTTGTAAGTAGTACCTCAACGTCATGGACATATACAAATTTCCAACCATGAAGACAAGCTCTTACAGCTAGATCCATGTCTTCTACTGTTGTTCGGTCTTTCCATCCTCCAGCTTCGTTTAAAGCTGCGATTCTCCAAACACCAGCTGTTCCATTGAATCCAAAGAAAGCATGGATCGAAGAACCAGATTCTTGCTCAGCCAAGAAATGGTAGTTTAGTGACATCTCTTGCATTCTTGTCATTAAGCACTCGTTCGCATTCACTACACACATACACAAAATGACACACGCACTGAGTCCATTTGAATCCAAACATAACCATTGAAAATTGCCAAAAAGATTTCGATGATTGTTTTACCAAACTTCCAACGGCATTGCACAAGGGAGATTTCATGGTTGTGAATGAGAAAAGGAATGGTTCTTGCTAAGAAGTCAGGATCAGGCTGAAAATCAGCATCGAAGATGGCTACGAATTCGCATTGTTTCACATAGTTATGCATCATTCCTGCTTTTAACGCTCCTGCTTTGTATCCTATCCTGTTGTCTCGAATCTCTGACATTATGTTTATACCCTTTCTTGCCCATTTATCACATTCTGCATTCACCAGTTCCTGTCTTTTCCAAATCATTTCATATATTTAAAAAAACTATCCATGGAAGATGAGAGAACTAATCATATTATATAAACCAAAGATTTTTGGGAAGAAAGGAAAAAAATTGAACAAAGGACCTTACTAGCTGGATCTGTGGAATCATCAAGAACTTGAACTATCATTCGATCCAACGGCCAAGATAGCCTGCACGCTGCTCCTATAGATAACTGACAAACCTGTGACAAAACAAGAATATGATTCCTTCATTAAGAAGGCATAAATATAAAAAGGTTAAATTTAGTTTGGTCACGAGAGATATAAATTTACCTCTTTTTCATTATACATTGGGATCTGAATGAGAACCATAGGGTAGTTTGTGTTGGCTAGCTCAAGATCATCATCGTTTATAGCTTCCCATTTGTGTACTCTCTCAGGTGTTCTTCTAAGTAATTTCACAATCACTACAACTATGCTCATATAAACTCTTTCTATGAACAGCAAGAATGACATCACCAGACATAATGTCACTAAGAATTTCAAGATTGGTATGCAGAAAAAGATTCTTGTCTCCTTCCAAATGTATAAAATCTCTCCAATAATGCCACTTCTAGCAAACTCCTCTGTATCTGATGATGATGCTAAGTTGCGTCTTTGGACCTTAAAACACCCCCAAAAACCCAAAAAGGGTTTAGATATAATGTGAAATGATTAAGAATCATAATTAAGTGAAACAGAGAGAGAGAGAGAGAGAGAGAGAGAGAGAATAATGATTTACCAGAAACCAAGAGGAAGGTGGGAGAGAATCATAAAGAAAGAGAAAGAACTTCATAAATGGTGACATTTTTTCTCTCCACAATCTCTGAAAAAAAGCTCAAAACCTGAACATGGAGGGAAAAGTTTTTCCTCTAGGAGAGATCTTGGTTGTGTCCTGAGTTTGATGATTCATAACAATGTCAGGGACCAGATCTTGTTTTTATTCCTTCATTTAAAAAAAAAAAAGATATAATAGCTACTAGCATCACATTCTCTTCATTTTCTTTTATTATAATCTAAACAAAATAAAGATAGGAGAAAATGATTATTAGTCTAATATAATTAAAACTATAAGCTATGATTTGGGTTGGGATGCATCATGCATCTTTAGTCAATTGCATTTGCACCCCACTTGCTCAGTTTTCCTGGTAGATAAAGTCGAAGTAAATGTTACAGTTGTACTCGTTATTTTTTTTGGTAAAGTGATGTTGACTTTTGCTCCTATTTTTCTAATATTGAACATTCCTCCTCTGATGGCGTGATATCATCTCAAGACTGATATAAAACAAAATGTTTTTGACTTTGTTTTTCAGACATATATTTTGCAAATAAAGCTTAGGTTTATTACGGGATGAACATATAGACAAAAAAAAAAAAAAAAAAACATGATGTAGGCTTGGATTTGTAAATGTTTAGTTTCACAACCTCAAAAAATGAAATATAAGAATAAAACAATGTTTTAAGCTCAATGGCAGACCTTTAGTGAAAAAGATTGAGGGATTGATCAATGAAATAAAATTAAGACACATTGGATCTCACAATTGAACAAAACTGAAGCAAGTTTCTAGGCGGTACAATAGAGCAAACATGTGTTTGAATATCAAAAAAAAGTCATAAACCTTTATAGAGATTATCACTTACAATAACAATATCTGATTATGAAGTAGAACTTGAAAGCAAATGAAGGATGGCGCAAATGCAATATGCAGAGTCAGATAAGATTTTCAACAAATGAAAAATTCAGAAAAATTGAGAGTTTTGTGATTTTACCTCAGAAGGAAGATTTCTCTCTGCTGCCACCAAAGAGTTCTCTTCAATATAGCTATTAGAGAGAAAGACCAACCACTTTCTGCTTGATCTTTCACAACTTGCACTCTCTCTTTTTTTTTTTCTCTTTGTTCACAATAATTTGCAATAAGGTGGAAATGGAATATGAACATGAACATGAACATTATATGTTTTTAATGGTAAACAAACTCGGTACTCTCGCACGTCTTAGATTCTCCGGGTCCATACCATAATAGTTTGGTTATTTCTTTGTTTTTTAGGCATATATTTATTTATTTGCATTCCTCTGGATATAGACAAAACAATCATTTATACTAATAAAATACCATAACAGATGGAAAAAAATCATTGTATACCGTGTAAATTGATCATTTCCTTACAAATTCAAATTCTACAATAAAGTAATAGTTTGCAAATTGCAAGCCAAGACTAGATCTTAGGCTAATGTAGTTGTTGAGTTGTATTAAAAGAGTAAATAAATGGGTTGGCATTGGTCATTGATGTTTACAGCTACACACAAATTGGGATAATTACTAGAAAAATAATAATTGTGAGAACAAAAAAAAAGGGAAGAGTTTCGCACGTGCCAAACATATCAAACAATTCAATCTCTCCTTTGGTGTCCCCATGTGATTGTGTTCCTATCTAATCCTAAAAGTCAATTTTATTTCCTTTTTGTATTTTCAATTTGTGGGACTACATCGAAATCCAATTCACTTACAAAAATGTGTGGGACTATAACATGTTTAGAAGTATATACTGTAGTTTATTTTCAATATCAATACGTACTAAAGAAATTTTCAAAAAAAAAATATATATATATCAATACGTACTTAAATTTCATTACCATTTAATGTGAAAAAAACGTGCATATGAGTTTGTATGATACAAAAGGTGGAGAAATGTTATAAAGAAACAAGCGAACAACCTTATGGTTGACTATAGAAGTAAAAAAAAAAAAAAAAAAATCTTTGGTTTACTGTATCATATGCTTCAGAGAACTATATTACATATCATCCCCTCACTACAAACACTTGTACCATCACCATCATCAGAGCTCGTCATGGCCAGTCTCGGCTTCGGTTACCAAAACAGGTCCTGGCTTGTGACTCTGGTCCAAGCAGCCCTTGTCGTCGTGCGAGTACAGACAATCAGCTGACGGATGAATCACTCCATACCCAAAACCTTCGGCTGAGTTACAGTAAGCTTCGACTTGACCGTCTTTGCCTTCAAGATTCACATTGTTGAGCACAATGTGGCTGCAAGGGACTGTGTCGCTGCAAGCAAATTTGATGGCTTTTGCGCTTTTGGTTGTCCCGGTTATGTTCCGGTACATTATCTGGCTGATTTTAACCGCCGAGGTCTAACATTATATCAAGAAAAAGAAACAACACATACAGTATCTTGAGTCACTTTTCATCTTTGAGTTTTGTTTTGATAGAATAATCAAAGAGGTGTTTATAAAGAAACCTGGTTTTGGCAGGAAGTTGGATTATCGCAGTAGAACTGATCAATGAGTATCGGGTTAGAGACATCATGCATCTCTACGTTTGTGAACCGAACACCTTGAACGTAACCGGAACCTCCCTGTTCCAAAATTGACAAAAGTTTTTGATCCGGATCGAAATCGAACAAAAGACAAGTACATATACAGTTAAGGCTGAAACTTCTCTCTTTATTACCTGATATGTTTTGATTCTGAGTCCATTAGTTGTCTCTTTCAAGAACGCAGTGTCCAACACAACGTTTGTTACAATGCCTGTCGAGTTATTATTCCCAAGACTTCCAATGCTGCGAGCATTTCCCAAAGAAATTATAATTTGATCTTGAAACAGATGTTATCTAGAAACTTTGGTGATGTTTGTTACCTGATTCCATGTCCAGGTCCACAATAGATCTTCTTCATCTTTATATTCGAGCTTGCATTCACAATCGAGACACAATCATCCCCTGTGCCGATTTTACAGTCTTGAAGGACAACATTGGTAGATCCAGTGATATGGATACCATCGGTGTTGGGACTATCTCCTGGAGAAGAGACCAAGACTTTGGAGACTCGAACTGAATCTGATCTTGCGATGATGAAATTCATCTGCTGGCTGTTTTGGATCGTCAAGCCACTTACTTTCACACCTGAGCTAGATTCTATAGTTAGTGCCTGCAGTGAAAACATAAAAATCGAGTTGATTCAAACTAAACAAGAAGCCATTAATAATAAACAAAGCTTTAATGAAGGCAATGGTTTTTTTTACCGTTGGTGCACTTTTACAAGGCTGCAAGAGAGAAAGAAAGATGCGTAAGGTTCCGATGGAAAACTCGAGACATTTGCATTTTTGTGTCAAAAAGAAAGCTAATCTTGTGGTAATGAAGATCTTACATTGGACTTGTTTTTCTTGCAAGAAGCAGCCCACCATTTGCTGCCAGAGCCATCTATAACCCCATTCCCTTGGAACACGACCCCTTTGAGTTTCGAAAACTCGAGCCAAATTCTTTGAAACTTTGGGTCCCAGTTGCTAGGCTCGTCTGGTGCCACTATTGTTCCGTCGATCTGTAGAAGACGGACCATAGATCGTTGAATATACATAATGATGTTCTAGTTTCTGTTTTTAAAATATGACAAAAACTTAGGACTTCATCTGATAAAAATTGACCTGAATGACCAACTTTTGTTCACATGGACCAGTGAACTTTGTTGCATTTACTAAATAAGTCCGGCCTTGTGGAACCAGTAACACTGATTTTGGTGTGGAGCAGGCCTTGCTCCAGGCGCTTACAAATGCCTGATTCCAGAAGAACATTGCGCAATGTTATTAAATTATTAAACCCTGCAAAATCTATCAAGTCTACAATGTACACAATTGTCTATAAATTTTCTCCATGACTTAGTGTTTGTGGGAAGTTTTTTGTTTTTTTTTCTCTCTCTGGAGAACCTGTCATTATTATGGAATAAGCAAAATGATTTCAAACGCACCTGAGTATCATCAGAAACTCCATCTCCAACTGCACCAAACGTCTCCACATTCACCAGATTCTTACCAGAACTCCGGCTTGTGAATGACGGCAAATCAAAGAGCTTTGAGTCGTGAGCATCATCGTCATCATCTTCCGGTACGTCAAAGTTCTCAAGCTCCTCAAGGATGTCGAGGTCAGCGTACACCATTTTCCCTGCAGCTCCATTTGAAGTTATCATTAATAAACCCAGAAGGCAGAGAATGAAGAGCTTATCCATCATATGGCTTCAAGCGAAAAGACCAGGAGAAGAATCCGTTTTTAGATTATATCCAGTGCCTAGTAATGAGATTTGCTTTGCAGAGATGATTGATTTTTGGTTGCAATTTATATGCATACTAATTAATGGGGTTTGTGGGGTTTATTGGCTTGGCTTAAAAGTACATGAAGAAAACGCCTTGTTTTTCAACAATATCTACGCTTAAAGCACAAGTCATGTGCTTTCCCACTTCTTTGCTTTACTCCAAAACCTCTACAACACAAACTCTTCGTGGTCAACTTGCTCTTGATGAACGTTGGTCCCATGAGATCTGAAATAAAGAAACAAAACGAGAAAGAATGCCTGAAAATCTCTCAACTTCTTCTTTTTTTTAATCTCAAGATGCTATATTAAGATATTTAGACATGATGTGGCTGTGAAGAACGAAAAGCAGACATTCTGTAGTATATCAAATGACAGAAATAGAAAGAGGTCAATAAGTTTGTTGCACCAAACCTGGCAAAATAAAGAATCTTATCCTCTTATGTTGTCCTTGTAGAGTGTCAATCATGTGTGATGGCTTCAAGTGAAAGAACCAATTTTCAGATATGTCGTGAACTTTGCTCATTCTTTTCCATGAAGCTGAAGCAAAAACACTGTACTGCAGTTTTTCTCATCAGCTTCTCACGACGACTGAACTGTAACCGATCTCCCTCATGAGCTCTCGTGAAGCAGCAGTCTCTCTGATTTGCCTTGAGATTTCAAAGTCACCGATCTCAAAGTAAAACTTCGAAACTTGAACGTAAACAGCGAAACTCTCAGGTTCAAGATCCATCAAAACTTCCGCTGCTCTTCTTCCTATTGGTTCGTTTCCATGAATCCTGCAGCTCTGAAGTAATGAGCTCCACGCGACGCAGTCTGCATCTCCAGGCGCCTGAAGAAGCAGCCTTTCGGCTTTCTCCACCAAACCAGCACGCCCTAACAAATCTACCATGCACGCATAGAGTTTCCTCCCTGGAGAAATCCCGTACTTCGATTCCAGAGAGTCAAAAATCAGCTCGCCTTCTTCAACAAGACCAGAATGGCTACAACCTGATAGCACAGACAAGATTGTAACTTCGTCTGGCATAAGATTCTTTCGATCCATTTCTCCCAGCATCTCTACGCAGTCTCTTCCCATGCCGTTTCTACCATAGCCATTGATGATCGAAGTCCAGCAGAAGATGTTGGGTGAATCAACCTCATCAAACACCTTCCGAGATGCTTCGTTCTGACCGCTCTTTGAATACGCATCAATCAGAGAGCACGAGACTGCAACGTCAGATGCATAACCTGATTTGATGGCACAGCAATGTACAAGCGTACAGCTATGCAAAACTGGTGGTACAGAGAGTGATAAAGCCTTGAGGACAGTAGAAAGAGTGACTTCGTCGATTCCAGTTCCTTCAGCAATCATCGAACTAAACATCTCGATGATATCTTTAGTGATACCACAGTGCATCAAAGAAGTCATCAGCGAGTTACAGCACTCCAGAGACATAGCAGGCAAACTCTGGTAAACCGACACAGAACTCTCAATGTCATTGCATTTGCCGTACATGTCAATCAGACCAGACTGTACATGAAGACTTGAAAGGTCAAACCCCATTTTGAGGACATAGCAATGGATCTGCTTCCCGGACTGAACATCTCTGTTTCTGCTACAGAAATTCAGAAACGACATGAATGACCTTATCGAAGGTCTCTTCCCCCAAAACTGCATCTTCCTAAACAAACCAAGAGACTCAAGCACAGACCCGTGATCCGCACACACAGAGACAATCGAGTTCCACGATATTACATCCATTTCGGGGACAGCATCGAATGATTTCTTAGAACCGGACAAATCCCCGCAAGCAGAGTAATAGTCCACAAGAGCATTAGCCACAAATACATTAGAAATGTCCCATCCAGATTTAATCATTACTGAATGCAACTGCTTCCCTTCACATAACAACCGATCATTAGAGCAACCACGGATCATATAACAATAACTTAACCCATTCTCAGCAACACCTTCAAGTTCCATCCTACGATACACTTCAAACAACCGCTTAGAATCTCCGGTCTCGCAAAAACATCTCAACAGCGAATTACAAACAGCTAAATTTCTCTCCGGCATTTCATCAAACAGCTTCAGGGCAACATCAACAAGCCGCAAAGAAGCGTAGAGACCCACAAGTGCAGACCTGACGAACATATTACATTCGAACCCGAGCGAAATCACCCTACAATGAACTTGAATCCCTTCTCTATAGAACCATTCATCACTACTACATACACTAAGAACAGAAGGAAACGTGGAAGCGCTCTCTCTAAGACCACGAGAGACCATCTCCGCGTAGAGCTCGATAGCTCTTATAGAACACCCATTTCGGCTATTCCCAGAGATGAGAAGATTATAAGTGACGACATCTCGTACGGACATTCCATCGAACACTTCGTGTGCAGATATCAAGTTCCCGGATTTAACCAATTCATCAATCTTCCGGTTATGGGTGTAAACGAGGTCGTTACGGTTTTCTTCAAGGAACGAGCCCAACTCCAAACGAGTCGCCGCCGTGAGCGGCGGTGCAGGACAACAATGTTGAGCTAGCGTCGTTGTTCTGCGAATATAGCTTAAAGCTTGAGCTCCTCGCATGTCTCCGAACACAGTAGTGTCTCTCTCAAAGCCACAATTCGCATTTGATTTCAATACAGAAAGTCAAAAAAACTAATCCTTTTTAGTTTTCTCCTCCTTGCTCAACAAGTATCAATGTCTTCACAGCTTTTACTTTTTCCTTTTCACCAATATCATTTTTTTTTTTCCTTTTTCTTATTTTCTAGAGAGTTACGTAAGGAAATTTCAATATTTGTTGCGCAACTGAGCAAAGCAAAAGCACAAAATATCCATAGATCATAACATAAAAATCCAACCTTTTTGACATTTTTGAATAAGAGAATTTGTTTTATTACAAAGACGATCACAAAGGCTCTTTCTTTCTTAATCACGCTTTACTAGACCTAGAAAGTTTCAGAGCCAAAAGCAATCGTCTTTTTTTTTTTTTTATCGCAAAGCTACAATCACCAAACGCCCCCCACCAACAAAATAACACAATGCTTCGTAGAAGGATATACATAAGATACTTACAATACAGGCCTTAACGCTAGCAAGTAGCTGCAATGGCCTCCAAGAGAGAGACCACGAATTGCATCTGAGTGGCTTCGTCGATCTTGGAGAAGAGAGGAACGTGAACGAACAGAGACTTGTGTCCCTTTTGCTCTGCGAACCTGAGAGAATGATAGTAGACATAGTTGCACACGAACCTCCCCGCGTCGTCTGATTGAATGACATCGAAGCCTTTACTCTTTAATAACTTGAAAATCGACTCTGTCGAACATGAAGTCTTCACGACACACACACAACAACAAAAAAACACGAATTAGAATGTTGCAAGAGAAGAAAAACCAGTGATGCGTATGTAATAAAATTATACCTCTTTGGCCTTTAAAATGCTTCCATCTTCAACAACTATGGGAAGCCGCTGTGTAAAAGAAATGTTATAAAAAGAAAAGGTACTTTAGTTTCTGTGAGGCTCAAGTTTGTGTATTCTCGGATTTTGTAATGAAAGGCGAGAATCGTTTTTACCTGTGGTTGCCATCCCAATTGATCAGGACAACGGAAGTGAGCTTCGTTCACTGCTTGTCTTTCAATGGCGAATTTTGTCGCTCCACTATTCACTCCAAGATGAAGCTAACGAAGCACCAAAACCAAGAGAAAGGTGTGTCTTTTATATCTTTAAACCATCAGAAGAAACACTCAAACCAAGAAGAAAACAAGTTCAAAGTCATATAAGGGCTTCGATTTTGAATGACATCAACAATCTTTGGTTCCAAAAATGTAACAAACAGTCAAGAACATAAGTAGAGTCAATTCTTAGCCTCATCACTTGAAGATGGAAGAGGAAACACAGCAGAACCACACTTCAAAAGACGATCTAAGACTAGAATTTGTTTAAACAGAATATGAAAACTGATGACTTCAAGGATGAGTATTGAAGTGGAGAAAAGAAACTAGACTGAAGAGTAAAGAGTCTCTCACCCAAACAACAGTTCCATTGCTGTTCTTATCTCCAGAGACAACACTAGACTCCAAAACCTCGTAAAGATGAGACTTTGCTCCTTCCCCTGCAGTCTCAAGAACAGTGCAGCTACCAAGACTCAACCCAGAAGGCAATCCTCGTTTCTCGACATAAGATTTGAGATTGTCAGCTATTTTCTCAGTAGGATTCTCGGAAACCCCAAGGAATTTCTTGAACCCAGTCACATGAACTGTAATTGCTTTTGGTCCTTCAGAGCCCATTCTCCAACCTAAGTGAAACATATTCAAAATTCAATTTCAATTCTCGAAAACATAATTGAACTAAGACGATAATACCAATCCAAGGTAAATCAAAAGTACGATAAGCCACGAAATTACTATGGATATACAAAATGAAAAAAAAAAAAAAAAAAAAAAAAAGAGTTGACCCAGTTCGCGATTTGATGATTTGAGATCGAAATATACCTGGGTTTCTCGAAATTCGATTGAAGAGAAACAAAAACCCAAAAATCGAGCTTAAAGGTTTTTGTTTTTTGTTTCCGACTTCTGGATTGAGAGGAAAGAGGAAACAAAATTGGGTTTTGGTTTCTTCTTCTGGCGAATAATCGAGTTTTCTTCGCGGTGGACTTTATTATAAGCACACGCGCCTTTAAATGGAACGCCCACCGATTACGAATTTATCTACGAAAATGCCACTAGCGTCGGGGAATGAAACGTCTCCGACACCGTCTGAGGTGGTCGTTATCCAATCGGTGACAGGGAAGATGATGACGTGGCGTATTTTGATTGGGTGAATTATTATTAATTAGAAAGGGGGTCTCTAAAAATAAGTTGCGATTCCGGCACACAAATTAGTTGTTGTTGTGTCGCGTTGGCAACGGACCCACCTACCGATAGGAAGCTAAATTTACGAAAGTACCCCTATTATTATTAGATGGGGAAAACGTGCAAACATAAACTACTTGTACTTGTTAAAGAAATGTTTTTTCTTTTAAAGAATTTTCATTAATAAAAAGTTTAAACTACAAGGAATCGAGAAAAGATCAGATGATAAAAACAGAGGAGGACCAGCATTTGGATTTGAGGGAGTAGCTATTTCAACGAGTGGAGAAGACATTAGAGAAAGACCAACGGAAAAGAGCTAGCGTGATGTCTCACCCACATCTGACTAGTTCGATTAAAACCAGAGCAGCGTCAAAGCCTCACCGTGCTTTGATCCAACATTTTTTAAAGCCATTGCTTTATTTTTTATCAGGTAGACAATCCTTTTGAAAATCTTGTAGTGTGGAAGAGTCAAACCTTGATGAAGTCTTCGATTTCGTTCTTTCCACAACTCATAGATACTCGCTTGCCAGAGCAAAAGAAGACTAAGTTGTGCATCCCGTTGTGGAAGAGCAGCAGGAAGCCAAGATATAATCTGAGCCCAAGAAGTAGGAGCATTTAGGATGTCTAGCTTTAGAAGAAGAGCTGACCAAACCCGGTTTGAAAAGGGACAGTCAAAGAATAGGTGGTTCTGCGACTCGGACGACGAACCGCATAGGAGGCATATGGTTTCAACATCTAATCCCCAAGCCACCATCCGGTCAAAGGTAGGATTCCTGTTAAGCATAAAAAGCCAAGTAGCTGCTGCATGTTTTGGAATCGCGACTTTGTGCCACACTAGAGAATACCACGAGACTGTAGGGTTTTTAGAGCGAATAGCGTTCCAAACCTCTTTCGAAGAGAAGTTTTTAGAGTTTGTTTCTTGCCTAAGCCACATGGTGGAGTCGCTAACAGGAGAAGGCTGAAGAGAAGTGATGAAGGAAAGGAGCTGGAGCTGTCGATCTGACCTGGCTGCTCTGAGGTTCCAGTTTCCATTTTGAATGCAATCCCTTACGAGAGAAAAGAGAGGAATGCCCATGGTAGCAGGTCCCGTGGGACCTAAAAAGTGAATCAATGAGCCGAATGGCGTCCACGGATCCCACCAAAAGAAAGTGTCATCCCCATTGCCAATTTGAATCCGGATAAAACTGATTGCTTTGTGGCGAAGCTTTAAAAGTTTTCTGAACATCCAAGAGACCGCTGGCGTGTCCTCCTTTAAAGCCCAGAAGCAAAACTTTGAAAAGTACTTTGTTCTCACCCAAGCAACCCAAATGGAGCCTCCCCTGAAGAAGAGCATCCATATTAGTTTTAGGGCGCATGTTTCATTCCATGATGTTAAAGACCGCAGCCCCAATCCTCCCTCTTGCATCGGGAAACACACAGCAGGCCAAGAGACCTTCGCACCAGTCTGCGCCTCAGCTTTGCCATGCCACAGAAAAGATCCTGCCATACTGTTAATTTTTGCGATCACCTTCTTTGGCAGAATAAAAGCTCCCGTCCAGGAACCCACAATCCCGCATACTACAGAGGAGATCAGACGTAGCCTTCCGGCGAGACTCAGGCGTTTGTGAACCCAGCTTCCCACCTTTCGCCTAATCTGGGATATTAGGGGGTCACAATCTTTCACTGAGAGCTTCTTAGAGCAGAGTGGAAGACCCAAGTAACGGACTGGTAGGGCCGTAGGAGAAAGAGCAAACCGGTGATGAATGCGAGAGAGCGTGTCTGGTTTGATATTCGCACAAAACATTGATGTTTTGTGGATGTTAACTGACATACCAGAGTATTTTTCAAACTGAGAAAGAACCGTAAATACTCCAGCCAGTGAAGCTTCCGATCCATCCAGAAAAATAAGGAGATCATCTTTGAAAGAGAGATGAGTGAGCTGTAGCTCCGTGCAGCCAGGGTGATAGGAGAAAATTCCATCTGCTGCCGCTTTGTTGAGCATCAGAGACAGTACATTCATCACCAACACAAATAAGATTGGGGAGAGAGGGTCTCCTTGCCGTAAACCCGATCGACTCTTGAAATAACCGGATGTTACTCCGTTGATGCTAATCGAGAAACTAGGTGTGCAGATACAGGCGCGAATCCACTGTATGAAGCATGGTGGGACCTGATATGCTGCAAGGGTTGAGAGAATAAAGTCCCATCTTATAGAGTCGAAAGCCTTTGAGATGTCGATTTTGAGGGCGATCCGAGGCGATACAGAATCCAGGTGGTAGCCTTGAAGGACCTCGGACGCTAGAAGAACATTCTCCAACAGTAATCTATCTTTGATAAAAGCTGTTTGATTCGGAACAATTACTGAAGGCAGAACTGTCTTAAGCCGGTCTGAAAGGATACGAGATATGATTTTGTAAACTGTGTTCAGACATGAGATTGGCCGAAAATCCTTTAACTCTTTTGCACCTCTCCTCTTCGGGATCAGAACAAGGGAGGTAGCATTCAAGGAGGTCGGCATAAAGGAGGACAAGAAGAAGTCCTTTACTACCGTAGCAATCTCAGGGCCAAGAATCATCCAAGTAGCTCTGAAGAATTCCGCCGGAAAATCATCGGGGCCCGGTGTTTTGTTTAATGGTAGCCGAAAGAGGGCATTTCTGATTTTCTCCTCGTGCACTTGAGAAGAAAGGTGCCGGGTTTGATTTGAGGAGCACTTTGTCCGAGGGAGCCGATCCAGGTAGAGAGGCAGAAAAGGACAGTAAGCTCCCTTTCTGTTGCATAAGATGTTCCGAAAATAAGATTCTGCTAACAAATGCACCTCCTCAAGTGATCCAGTTCTGGAACCGTCCGGCTTTAGGAGGTACTTTATAGTGTTAGATGCATTTCTCATTTTCATAACCATGTGAAAGAAGCGAGTATTGAAATCCCCTGCCTCCAACCATTTGATCCTTGAGCGTTGACGGAAAAAACTTTCTTCAGCGATTCTCAAAGAAACCCATAAATCACGGGCAGAAGACTCGAGCTGGACATTAGCTGGAGAAGGGTCATCCAGAGCTCGCAGCTGAAGAGATTTTAGATGTTGATGAGCCTCGCATTCTCTCTTCTCAATATCGCTAAAATTTTCTCTAAACAGAGCTTTTAAGAAATGCTTTGTTAACATAAAAACTCTTTTATTTATTTAAAAAGTAAGAGAAAAACCCCTAGAAATAAAAATTAAAAAAGTTTGTATTTTAAAAAAATATAATCTATCATTTGAATATTTAGAGAATTAATTATTTTTAATTCTAATATTTCCTTTGTTTTGTAAAATAATTTAGAATTTTCGGTTTCATAATTCTGCCAATAATTTTTTGAAAAGGTGAGAAATTGATTGCTAGAAACTAGATGAATATATACCCTATAAAAAAAAGGTCACGATCACACAAAATCAAAAGTGTCTTCTAAAGATTCTTCAGCGTTCAAGTTAAAAAAAGACATTGAAAAATGATTAAAATACATTACAAAACGATTTAAATGTAATGTTATGTGAGTGTTAGGCTCAAAGTAAGTTTTTAGTGCTTTTAGTATATATTTCACTTGAGTATTTTGAGAGTGTTAGAATCCGAATCCACTTTGATTGGTGTTTATAGATTGATATGTATAAGAAACCATATATTTCTATCGGATTCGGAAACTAGATACCCAAAACTTAGTAAAATTGACCTGGTTTCTTAACCTCTCATTTTCAAGCTACATCATGCGTAGTCAATATGAAGGTTTTATTTACCGTCGTTGAGTAATTCCAATATATTTTCTTATAGACATTGCTTTTTAACTCTTTGTTTCATGCATGAGCTATATTTTTATGTGCTCCATATTATCTAAGATCAATCAAATGTAAATTTCAAAAACATGATGAAATTTATAAATTACTAGTAGTACGTGCAGTTAAGCAGTTTTGTCTTGCTCTATCATACAGAAGCATTAAATGAAGTCAATAAGTCATGTATATATGTTATGATGATTGAAAGCTTTGACAAAAATTCTTACTAAAGTGCTTCATGGAATGTTAAAACAATCATAATAAAGTAGTAGTCATGAATGCAAAAGTGGGATTTGGTAGAGTCAGTGATGACGTCTCTTCAAAATAAGTTCAAAGTTACGAAACTACTGAATAAACATCGCTTATTCCCAACACTCTCTCCTCGAATACCCAAGTCCTACGTACGTTTCAGATACTTCTCATCTCCCACTCCCTCTCCAACAAGACAAACCCTAAAGCAACAAAATAAAACCCTAGAAGAAAATAGTCACCATCACATCTCACAAGCCAGATTGTTATTACTCAAATGGAGATTTCCCCCAAATGGAGTGCCTTTGAGCCTTTCTCTCTCGGAACCCATTATTGCTTTCTTCACGGTCCTGCGTTCCAAACATATTCAACAATCAATACTCAAAACAAATTAATTGAAAAATATAGATATTCAGCTGGAATGCTTTAATTAGTTGAATGTGTTTCTATAAAAGTAGACTGTGTGCAGTGTGGCCTTCGATACTATTAAGGGGTTTAGGTCATAAATTTCACACATTGTAGTAGTTGAGGATCAATGATTCTCACTACCCCTCTCCTTGATTTCACTCTAATAATCAGTAAAAAGATATCATTTTTTCATTTACTCTAGGGTTCTGAATCTTTTACTGAGAGTGATGCTATTTGAATCTAGTTAATGCTTATTTGGTTTGCTTTGGAATGACATTTTAACGTTGGCCTGATAATATGCATCGAGTTTATTTTGTGAACTACGTACTTTACTATATGACAATTGATTTTGAAGCAAAATATAACAGTACTAGAAAAACATAATTAGTTACTTACCTCGAGAGCGTTGCATGGTAGTACTGTGTTGTTATCTTCCTCGCAAAAACATTGATCTGAGGCAGCTCTCTTGTTTTGCGCTGGAGGGAAATGGGCCCACTTCATAATCCCCAAATCAAACAAATCGAAATCACAAAAAAAAAGTTATCAGTTAGATCTCTCAATTAAGCTGACTAAAAGATGGAGAAAAAACCTAAACAAAGGTTTTTCTTTTAATTTTCTATCAAGTTTTAAGATTAAAATTGAAATCACAAAAAGTGGTCAGTTAGATCTCTTAATAAAGCTGACTAAAAGATGGAAACAAAAACTAAATTAGGTTACTCTTTTAATTGTCTATCAAGTCTTAAGATTAATTGAGCTATCTGTACATTTTTGGCAGCTAAGCTGAAAGCTTCCTTATGAGCCATGCTTGGATTCTGAGCCTTTAACCTCCTGATCTCTTCCCTGCTCAAATCCAAAAACCCCAAAAGGAAGCCATTTTACAAACTCATTTCTTATAACTAGTTTAAATTTGCAAGAATATACACATATTGTATGTATAAGGGTAGTGTTTTGGATTGATTTCTTACTTTATGAAGCAATTGTAAGCTGAAGGAGCTCGTTGTCTTTTCTCAGGTGCTATGTAAACTCAAAAACATCAATTAGACTAATCAAAATGAACGAAGCTAAATTTTGAAATAATAAAACATATAAACTTACGTTTGTTGACAACTTGGTAAACACGAGAAACGTCTTTGTCTTCATCTTCATTGTCTGAAGACGTAACCAAAGTCGTTGGACTGCTCTCCTTCTCCTGAGCCACCTTCCATGTTTCTTCTTCCACACCATCTGTTGTAGCTGCATTAACCTCCTCTTTCCCCGCCTTCACACACATTTATAATTAAGTAAGAATTAGAGATCTATGTTTAAAATTAATGAAAAGACCATATGCATAATAGACATGTCACGGGAACCTCGTCGAGATGAGAGAGAGAAGTGAGGAGATGGAGAGGAATGAAGGAAGCCTTCAACAAATTGACAGAGAGGAGGCTTGTGCAATGCCCACATCTCACAGTCACCACCATCGACAGGCTCGTGAAGGGTACACTCACCTGTAAAACAAGTATATTTTCATCAAATGATCATCGATATACATACATACAGAGAGAGAGAAGAAGAAGAAGAAGAAGAAGAAGAAGAAGAAGTTAAGGCATACCAGCAAAATAGTGGTGCAAAAACCACACTGAACATGGCAAATCTGCCCCGGCAGATCAAACAGATGGTTGAGTGTTGTCATGTTGGGGATTCTTGTCATAGAGAGAGAGAGAGAGAGTGTGTGTGTGTGTACGATGAATGATAGGAGAAATATGTGTGTGGTTGTGTGTGTATATATAGATAGAGAGATAGGTATATATAATCATTAATGCAATATTATATATTTCATGTGAAAATACTTTGGTTATATGCTAAAATGCACTACTTAATTTCTCTTATGTGCGTCTCTATCTCACTTCTAATAATTGGAATCATCACCGTCTCGATGAGCTGTGAGTAGTAAATGTTTCTCATTCTTTCTATTAATCACATTTCTAACTCCTTAGTAACCTACATTTTCTTTTCCAAAGAAAATAAATAATAGCCATGTTCTTTTTATCAAGAGCTACGTCTGCGGCAGCTACCAAAAATCTAAACTTCAGAAACTTTAAAATTAACACGTGGCAAATCGAAAGCTTCTCAGAAATCTAGAAAAGGAGACGCCACATCTGAAAATAGAGTTGTTGGTGACACTTAGATTTTCCGGCGTCAAGTTGAATGAAGGCGCATGCCGTTGTCTGTTGTCGCTGCGTCTTCATCCATCAGCACCGGCGTCATATTTGCTGGATTTTCTTTGTATTTTTCTTACCGCTGACGCTGACACAACTTTAAGAAAAAGAATAGAGCTACTATGTATTGTTGCCGATGGTGGAATTCTTCTAGAGACAATTTTGTTTTTGTCGGCGAGTTCTAAGTGACAATAAATTTAACTTATTCTTTTTTATAAAAAAATTCCAATACTTCTTTTTTAAATTGAGATCCGGTTCTCTTTATATAAAAGCAAATTAATTAAGATTTTTGCAGCTATATATATAGATAGAAGCATATATATATTCTTAGGTCACACACACACACATATCAACGTGATACATGACATTTTCGAAGTTTATCATTAGGATAGATATATTCAGCTGTCAAAACAAGTTAAAAACACATTATCAACCCCATAAACGCAAAACATTTGAGCTCCGTTATGTTCTAACTTTTTACAACTCCATGAAAAATAAACAGTACATGAATATAATGGTGAAAGCTAAGATGGCCCCAGGTATTGTAAAGATTAAACTTGAATGAGCTATGTATAGAATAACAAAATATATTTATAACCAAAAGTGAATAGTATAGACTGTATAGTGTACAATGAACATGTAAAAATGGAAAGCCACGTTGCACAAGAGCAGATAGACAGTAGATCAAAGAGAGATTGGTAATAAATGATGTGGTGTGAGGATTGGTTCGCAAGTTTGAAAGAAAAAAAAAAAAAAAAAAAAACAAGTGAGGTTGAGAAAGAAATGCCTCTTTGTCTCATGTGTAGTTGTCTCTTTAAATGGGAGTTATTGAATTTCAAACAAACTCAACAGTCTTTGGAGTTTTAGGTTGACATGAGATTGAGAGTGAAAGTGCAGTGAGTTGAGACTAGTGCGAGTGTTTCTAGGAGACTCATCACTTTTAGTAACTCGGAATCTTAGGATTTTGTCCTCCTTCTTCTCACTATTGCTAACTGTTTCTTGACCATTTTACCCTAAGTCTTCTCTCTCTCGATCTCAACATCTCTTCAAGTTTCAGTGCTCTCTCTTTCTCTCTCTCCTCATGTTATTTCCACTGTCCCTCTCTTTATTGCTCTCTCTGTCTCACTTACTCTCATCTCCTATGTTGTGTTCAACCACAAGATAAAGACTTGACATTTATATATTTACTCAATTTCCTACCATTTGTATTTTTCTTTTCTTTGTGGGCAGACTCCCATGCGTTGACCCAAGTTTCGGCCCATTTTTACTTATTAACACACACAAAGTCTACAAACTTCGATCCGTTTTGTTAAAGCCTTTTAACGAGTGTTGCACAAGTTATCTGCTTACGATCATCTTCAGTTTGCATAAAAGCATACAGAATGCTAACGACATTTCGTTTTTCCTATTTTCCAACAAACGCAACGGAAGATCAAATTTGCAACTTCGACATTTGTTTTCCAAAATAAAAAGCTCGTGAATCGAGACTAACGTGCAAGACAACACAGTAACGTCTAAAACATAATATATATATATATATATATCTGATCCATCTTTAGCTGATTATAAGTTATTCAGAGCCTTAAGACATGATCATGGGTCATTTCGCCTTTTAACAAAACAATCCATTGTGCAGAAAGAGATGAAACTAAAGCTATACGTCGTACGTGATACAAGATGATCAAGCAAATGACTGGTTCGGCTCAACATCCTATCTCTACGGCTACATGCCAATATTCTAAGCAAATGATCAGTCCAAAGCAGATTGAAACAAAATTAAGGGATTTTTTTTTTTACAATTTCATGTCTAATTATAATGGCAAATGTAATCATCCTATCAGAAATCCCAGAGATGACTAATTAAAACTTAAACCTCAATATAAAACCATCAGAATAAACATGCCAAATGTAGTTCAATAGTAAAATCCTGAAATAATTCATAAAAAAAGAGGCAAAATCACGACCTAATAATAATCATCACTCTTCATCAGGCTTCTTAAAGACATAAGTGGTTCCACACTTTCCACAGTAATGCCTATCGAAATGACTCCCCATGAACGTTCCCGGTCCACAGCTAACCGAAGGACACTCCTTCCTCAGCCTCTGAACCTTCCCGGTTCCATCCACCTTGTAGAACTGCAAAACCGCGAGCTTCACTTTCTTGTGCTTGTGCTTGATCTTCTTCGGCTTCGTGTACGTCTTCTTCTTCCTCTTCTTCGCTCCTCCTCTCAGACGGAGAACCAAGTGAAGCGTCGACTCCTTCTGGATGTTGTAGTCCGCGAGAGTCCTTCCGTCTTCCAGCTGCTTCCCGGCGAAGATCAGACGCTGCTGATCCGGCGGGATCCCTTCCTTGTCCTGGATCTTCGCCTTCACATTGTCGATCGTATCCGACGATTCAACCTCTAGGGTTATCGTCTTCCCCGTTAGGGTTTTCACGAAGATCTGCATCTTTCTTCTCTCTGTTTTTTCTGCTTTTTTTTTCCGCTCGGAGAAAGACGGAGAAATGTTTAGCGAAGGCTTTTATACCAAAGAAACTAGGGTTACGAGCTCATGGGTTTTAACACTGGTTCTTCATTACTGGGCCTTAGGCCCAAACTGAGATGTAAAGCCCGTATTGACTAAATAGAGAAATATCTCCAAGAACTGAAATAGATTGTGTTTTTTTTTGTTGGTAAACTTTCAAATCATTATCAATGGCGATTGTAGCATCACTACCAGACGTTAATCTCTTCTCTTCTCTACCTTCAACGCTTCCAATGGCGGATTCATCTGGAACTTTCCGGCCAGCTCCGCCGATACCGATTCCTAAGTACTCACCGTCCTGTAGAAATCGTAATCCGAGAAGTAGCAATCCTCACACTGATACACAGCCCAAACCACAATCGAATCCAGCGCTGAAGCTTCCGCATCGCCAGACAAGATACTACAAGCCGATGAAAGAAGGAGTTATCTCTTCGGATGGCGAACGTACCATCGTAATCGGCGATTCCGGCGTCTCGTACCAGCTTCCAGGGGCTCCATTCGAGTTTCAGTTCAGCTACTCTGAGACGCCGAAGGCTAAACCGGTGGGAATCCGAGAGCCAGCGTTTATGCCTTTCGCGCCGCCGACGATGCCGCGACCGTGGACGGGGAAAGCGCCGTTGAAGAAATCGAAGAAGAAGATTCCGTTGTTCGATTCATTCAGTCCACCGCCGGCTGGAAAATCCGGGGTGAAGTACGTGGAGATGCCTGGGCCGTTCCCGTTTGGGAGGTATCCAAAGGAAGCGATGACGAGAGACGAGATTCTCGGGGAGCCATTGAAGAAGTGGGAGAAAGGGATGCTGATTAAGCCGCATATGCATGATAATCGCCAGGTTAATTTGGGTGAGTCAGTGTCTCTCACGTTTTCAATCAGGAGTTTTGATTCAATTTTCACTCACTGGGATTATATGTGTGTTAACAGGAAGAGATGGATTTACTCATAACATGTTGGAACTGATACATTCGCATTGGAAGAGACGGCGTGTTTGCAAGGTTCGCTGCAAAGGAGTTCCCACGGTGGATATGGATAACGTTTGTCGTGTTCTCGAGGTATTTGCTTGGTCTCTGATCAATGTTTTCTTTCAGTAACGATTCGAACCTTGTACGATACATAGAATCAAAAAGATATAGGTTGTTTGTTTGATCGAACTTCAGTAGAAATTACTCCACCGGGTTTTTGCCACATCGTTTTGTAGCTATTATGATTTGCATCTGGGAGAGTGTGAATGGTATGATTCTGGTTCGTTTGTGTTAGGAGATGATGTACAGGAAACTTGTTGGAATATAAGAATCTGCAGAAAGAGTTTATAACAGGCAAATATTAACTTTCATGTGAATCCAAGTCATACCAGAAGCGACAAAGAATCAAGTTTGTTCCTTTTTCATGACCTTAATCACGGTTGTATGATATTTTGATTCATTTTTGTGACTTGAGAGAGTAGCAAAAGATACCATCTTTAAATGTCTACTTTCGAACTGTTGGATTAGTGATGGACCGATTCTTCCAGATGATTATACTTTTCGTTCTCTTTTTTCCTTTTCCTCTTTATCTAGGAAAAGACAGGAGGAGAGATCATACACAGAGTCGGAGGTGTCATATATCTCTTCAGGGGTAGAAATTACAACTACCGCACACGTCCGCAGTACCCGTTGATGCTGTGGAAACCAGCAGCTCCCGTTTATCCAAAGCTCATTCAAGAAATTCCTGAAGGATTGACCAAAGACGAAGCTCATGAGTTCAGGGTGAAGGGCAAGTCTCTTAGGCCGATATGCAAGTTGTGTAAGTACATCGTATTGTTAAAGCCTTAGTTCTGTTTTTTTGTCCTCCTTTGTTACTTTTGGCATAACTGGCACAGAGTGTTCAAGAAGAAGCGAAACACTTGGCTAAGTATTTGCTATTGTCGTCCCGGTTTTGCATTGCAGCTAAAAATGGAGTCTACGTGTCGCTGGTCAAAGATGTCAGGGATGCCTTCGAACTGAGTCCCTTGGTGAAAGTTGACTGCCCAGGGCTTGAACCAAGTGACTACAAGAAAATAGGCGCTAAGCTTAAGGTCTATGAGTACTTCAGGTTTTTGTTTTTTTATTGGAGCTATACATTACACAGCTCTGTATCTTCATTGCAATCATATTTGGTCGATCACAAATGGTCGAAATTCGAAACATTTCATATTAAACAATTTGAAGTTGCATGTTCACTTGGCTTAGGAGTTCCTCTTTTGCTCTCCATTTTCCATGCTCTTTGATTTCTCTCTGGTTATCTTTAAAAATATTTGTATACGGGTATTTTCAAGATCATTCTTGGTTTCATGTTCTCTCTCTCTCGTTCTTTGGGTCTCGTATTCACTATGCAGTTTCTCAGATTTTATCATTCAGCATTTCTCTGTGTATCTGACAAGCTTTCTCTTCGTTTCTTGCAGGAGTTAGTTCCTTGTGTGCTTCTGTCTTTCGACGATGAGCAAATACTCATGTGGAGAGGACGAGATTGGAAGTCGAGGTTTGTAAACAACCCTTTAACTCCAATCCTATCTGAGACCAACATAGCAGATGAACTTGTTCCCGCAGGTATTATTAACTCTGGACTACTCAGAAGAAAGGTATTAATAAATTGCTTCTCATATACCAATTTATCTGTTCTTTTCTTTTCAGACAAAACCGGTGAAGAATCTGGTCCGAATACGGTGATCTCAAGCCCCAAAATGATGTCGCTCTGGAAACGAGCCTTGGAATCGTCCAAGGCGGTAGTTCTGGAAGAGCTTGACCTCAGTCCAGACGATCTATTGGAGAAGGTGGAAGAGTTCGAAGGCACTTCACAGGCTGCGGAACACACTTACACAGCCTTGGTCTTGCCGAGCAATGATGGTGCAGAGGATTACGTAGATGACGAGGACCGTCCCGAGGTGTATAGTGACATAGCCGATGACTTTGACGACGAGTGTTCCGATGATGATGAGTCGCTCGAACCGGTGGGTCCAGTGGGATCTTTGCCCGTTGACAAGATAGTTAGGAAGCTGAGGGAGACACTAAAATAGAGCGCCAAAAGTATTGACTGTAAAATTATCTTGTTTTGTGCATATGTATTGAACTGACATATCCTGTTCCTCCAATCATATCATCGATACCGTTCACAAGTATGTTCTTTTATGATTTAAATTTGTAGCCAGGTAATATATATAAATCGTTTGTAGATAACCCATTTGGATAAGATAAAGACATTTGAATTAGTCAAATTAATATGATGTATATAGTAGTACTTGGGTAACCCTCTTTTATTTTCCAACTATTTATGTGAGTTGACTGTGTAATCAAATGATCTTTATTACAATGCAGCTATGCTATATAAACACAAACCAGGATTTTTTTTGTTGTTCTTGAGTCTCTTTATGTATTTTTTTTGTCGCTTGCCTTTATTGTGAATTTATTTGAGATTTGAGATAGTAGAATAAAGAGAAATTGGGTCATATGACCATATAAAACTGAAAAATAAATAAAATAATCATAAAAATCAATGATTACAGTATTTTGTATATATTCTATAATATATATAAGGAGGTGTTATTGGTTCTTGTATTTTAATGGATTTGATAATCCAAACCAAATTTGGTGTTATTGGTTCTTGTATTTTAAAATCTATATTGAAATACAGTTTTATTGGTTCTATGATTTTAAAATCTATAATGAAATACAGTGTTATTGGTTTTATCATTTTAAAATCTAAATATTATAAGGATTTGAGTTTTAATTGAATTTGAATGGATTTGGAAGGATTTTCATAACTAAAATACGAAGACCCAAATACAAGATCTAACCTTGGTATTTGAGTGGATTTGATTTTTTCCATTTTGCTGATTTTGGAATCAATAAATTCATCAAATCTAAAGAAAATTTATAAATCCACCAAAATACAAGAACCAATAACCCCTACTAAAATTATCCCTCTTCTATTTTTTTCTTTCCCTTCTTTTTTTTTTCTCTGCTTTCTTTTATTTTCTCTTCCCGTTTATTCCTGTTCCTTTATTTTTATCCATTTTCTTTTATTTTTTCTTCCTGTTTATTCATCTTCCCTCATTTTTATCCCTTCTCCTTCCTCTCTGTCTTCTCCCCTACCTTCCCTCGTCCTTTTCTATTTTCTCCTCTCTTTATATAATTCATAAAAAACAAATATTTTATATATAGTATAGTATGGTAATATAAATCGATATAGTATACTATAATTATGTATTTATAAATTTTGTTTAAAGGGTAAAATAGACAAATTTTAGAGTTTTTGGTTATTGAATCAATTATGAAATTAGTATGGTTATATATTTTATTTTATAGTGTAATATAGTTATTTCACAAATTAACCCTAGAATAAATGGTTCATTAGCTTGACTTGAAGAATATACATTTTAGTGGATCACTTGTGTTTTGCACTGCTACGTTTTATGCGGTAAATTTATAATATAGAATCGTTTCAACTTACTGTATGTTCGAAAATGGTAATACTATAACTTCACATCCTTAGTGTTTTTTTCTTGTCTCACTTCTTTCAAATTTATTGATGATTTTCTCTGTTCCAACTGTTTGGTTTGGGCTCTCTGCACATGTATTTGAACAGTTGAGGTCAAGTAAATATAAGGATGTAACATTATATAGTATGAAAAATTAAATAAAACTGACTCACCGTGCAAATAAAAAGACTTTCCCTCTCCTATCGCTTCTGTATTTATGAGAAGCGTTACCAAAAAATTAAAATCATAATAGGTTTTGATGGAGAATAAGAACAACGATGGAGTTATTGGAGAAGAAGAATGTTCCATTGACGGTGACATTCTCGCCTCTATCCTCTCCAATTTGCCGCTCCTCGACCTCGATTCCGCCTGCCAGGTGTCCAAATCCTGGAACCGCGCCGTCTTCTTCTCCCTCCGCAACCTTAAGACCATGCCGTGGTTGTTAGTCTACAGACAGAGGACTTTGCCGCCGTTCATCATGGCGGCGACGGCGTACGATCCAAAGTCCGATGAGTGGATCGAGCTCAAAACCGCATCTCCCGTTAAACACCTGTCCGTCTATCGATCCTCCCACTCGACGTTGCTCTACGCGCTATCGCCGAAAAGATTCTCCTTCTCGGTCGACGCGTTTCACCTGAATTGGCGACACGTGGCACCGACGAGAGTGTGGAGGGTCGATCCAATCGTCGCCGTCGTGGGACGGAGCCTGATCGTGGCCGGCGGCGTGTGGGAATTCGAGGACGATAAACTCGCCGTCGAGTTGCTTGACATCGAATCCGGCGGCGGCTGGGAGAGATGCGAATCGATGCCGGGATCCCTCTGGGGATCCCCGTCCTCCACGTGGCTATCCGTCGCGGTGAATTCGGAAAAGATGTACGTGACGGATAAGAGATCCGGCGTCGCGTGTTGTTTCGATCCAGAGGCTAGATCGTGGACGGCGCTTCTCGGTTTCTCTCCCGTAGACGAAGACGGCGCCTGTAAATTGTACTCCCGCGAGATTGGATTCGCCGGTAACCGTCTAATCATGGCTGGGATCACCGGAGATGAGGATAATCCGACGGGAATCAAACTGTGGGAAGTAGCAGTACCCAACGAATCGCCGATGAATTTGAAATTCGAGTCGATTGGATCCATGCCTAAGGCGTTTTTCGATAAACTCAGAGTGATCGATTCTGATTGGCCGCTAACGTCGATAGCGTTTAACGCGGTGGGAGATATGGTTTATATTCATGATGCGGCGGAGACCGGAGAGACTGTGGCGGCGGAGATAGAAGGAGGAGGAAAGCTCTGCAAATGGAGGACTCTGACCCTGCGTAACGCAGACGCAACATTGAATAAAAGTCACGCGAGAGAGAGGCTTATCGTTGCGTGCTCAAACGTGAGTTTTAGCGATTTGAAACGTGCGTTTAAGGATAGTTTGAGTTTCTCTGTGGTGTCACGGACACGACAGGTGTGAACGATAATCTTTGAATTTGAGATGATGTGAGAACTAATCATGACCTTTAAATTCAAAGTTCCAAGTCAATTTCGTTGTTAGGCTAATGTTTATTTTCCCATAATGCAATAGTTAATGCATGTAGCTACATCTTTAAGGTCTGGATTTCTCTTTTAAGGTGTTCATCGTTTGCTTGGTCATCTTTGTTTTCGTGATGGCGTTAGCTACATCACATTTTGATAGGAATTATTTTGTCTGATTTAAACCCTTTTTCAACAAAAATAATTAACGCATGTAGAAAAGTGTATTATTAAATACTTTGTAAGTGGGTTACATGGATAATAATCCAAAGATATTAAGAAGTGTAAAAAGGATGAGGGAAGCAAATGACTTTGAGAGACTGTTGTGTTAGGTGAAGAGTACGTTTTTAAGTCAGAGTGACGTGTAACACACTTTCTTCTTTAAAGAAAGATACCGTGCAACACACTGGAGTGTGTTATCTGTCCCCAAGGCCCATCAACACACTTACGTGTGTGGTTATGACTGATTAGAAACCAACAAAACTAAACAAAAAAACGAATTTTAATATGTAATACACAGTTATTAGCTGTAAACATATTTTTTTAAATTAGTGGTTAGTTGAAGGGATCTAGAAAAAAAAAAGGCTTAGGTAGTGAGGAAATAAATAGCAAATGAGTTCAAATACATACCAAAACGCAGTTCTATTGATCCAGATCTTATAATCTACAGATTTATGTAACCTTGGCACTTTTGCTTTGATGACTTGCTTCTCCATTTTAAATTCTTGTAGTGTATGTTTTTTTTTAAGTTACACATTAACAGTACTACAGTAACACCAATACACACAAATTCCTTATTTGGTAAATCCCAGTTGGACCAGTTCATATGATTTACTTGACAAAGAGGATCTGAGCTAAATAACACCTAAATAACAATTATTATTATTTACACTTCCTTGCAAACAATGCCAATTAAACTTTAGGAACTAATTGAAGCAATCAAACAACTAAATAACACTTTAAGTTTAAAGGTTTATTTTCTTCACTTTTATATGTATGACAATCATCACATTCATGAAAAATAAAGGGAAAAGAAAACGCCGATTTACTCAAATCTAATGATCAGTATCTCTCCTTCAAGTTGAAAAAACAAACACAAGCAAACTGAAATCAGAAAAATAATTTTAAAGCACATGAACACTAACACTAATGGAGAAAAAAAAAACCCCTAAAGAGTAGAGAGAGATATAGCCGATAATAAGATATACTATCACCTTGGTAGGCTCGAGAAAATGAATCGAACCCATCCGCCGTTCCATGACTTGCCGGTTCAACCCCGCCACTTAAACCGCATCGGTTTGCCCGGTTAGGCGCACGGAGCCAACACTAACTTTCTCAGATGGTGTGGACTTAGCTAGGCATGCATAGTGGAACCCTCGTGTCCATGTAGAAGCTTCCGTGTGGAAAGCTCAAGCACCCTATTTGGAATCAGCCTACTACTTTTTAAGTTTGAACCATAAATAATAGGTAGAGAGTCTTACCTTCACTACTTCTTGCCTATGTATAGCAATTTCTCCTTAACTGTTTTGACGGTGTAAGAGAGAGAGAGAGAGAATGTCACTCCAGCATAATTACGTCGATGCCATTGGATTATCATATAAAGATGAAGGAGGTCCCTATATAAATGTGTATCTTATAGATTCAACGTAGGAAAGTTAAGTAAACGATCTTTATTTTGATCATTCATTTCTCTTCGTGAAATTAGTTGTTTAGGTGAAGGACACTTATATTGTTTTTTTACTACTCAAATCCAAAACTCTAGTTACTACTAATTAATAGAGTTTGTTGGCACTATAAAAGCCGACTTAAACCCATATGCACAAAAGTCTGTCTCTTTTTGTGGATTTTTTTTTTTTTTTTTTTTTTTTTTGAAAAGATTTCTTGCTCTTTAAAAACATGAAAAATGGGAATTATTGACAAATAGCACCCTTGGTTTGCCACCAATTAGGCCATTATTTCAAATTTACTGCTCCGGCTACAATCATTGGAGGGTACAAATGTGAAACATAACAATTACAATTTGGGAGTATATACAATTATATAGTATAGGGATCGACCCTACTCCCTAGTGGAATTCAAATTGGTTGGCTAGCTATTTGCCTATTTGTCTATTTCTTTTTTTTGGTAAAATGTTAAATTTTATACCAGTTTTTAAATTGTGACAGAAGTACAGAGATAACGAAGAAATCGGAAAGACCAAAATCTAAAAACAGCCACGATTAAAGACAAATACTAAAAAAGAAAACATCAAAGCCACCCAGCAGAATTTGTGTATTTCTAATTGGTCATTTCCTTTTGATACTATTAATTTGGTTTCCCAAATTCAGTGTTTTGTATATATCTATGTAATCCTGACTTAATCCACTAGTCACACGCTAGACTTTCAGAAAAACATGTAAGAAAAATATGGATCTTATGGTCGACTTTAAAGTTTAAGCTTTCAGAAAGCATAGTTGCGTACGTTACAACGCACACGAAATAAAATCAGTTATCATACCACTCATCTTAACATAAGCCCACAAGATCGACCCATTAAATGTCACTAAACCACAGCTCTTAAATAAGCCCATATGGTCGGTCCATTTTTTGTTTCATTTGTTCAAATGGGTCGCCTATTCTCGCAACTCGTAACAATACCTCGACTAAACTACCATTACACCCGTACCGCACAACGACCTAGCGGTTGCTGCCTCGTTCGAGTTTTGAAATACTGAAAAAACTAGTTTTTGAGTTTAAATTACTTTTAAAGGGTTCGAACTCATGCTTCTGCAATATATGCGAGTTTATGATCATGTTGAAAAACAAAAGGACACAAGCATCATCATTCATTAGCTAGAAGAAAAACATACGATCATTTTCACGATTACGACCCCCACAACTCTAGAAGCATCATTAGCTAGAAAAATTATGTTTTGTTTTTCTTTCATAGTAATTATTGAAGATTCTGTACATTACTAGCAAATCTGAGTCACCACAATCACGGATCCATCACCACAATCAAAGGAATCATAATTTCAGTAATGCATATACTGTAATCTTCTTAGTTAGGCAACTGTTTTACTGCTCTCTGTAATATAAAATCACATCGACATACTCTGCAATGATACACAGAAAATTCTCTTTTATTGCTTTCTCTTTCTCTGGTATTTTCACATGGTATCAGAGCTCTGAACAAGAAATTTTTTTTCTTGTCCGAATCGATCTATCGTTAACACTAAATGATAATGAATCCGACAAACACGAACTCGAACACTCAAGTGGAGACTGTTCGCCGAACAATCTCTCCTTACGATCTGACCGCTGCTGACAATTCCGGTGCTGTAATCTCGCATCCTCTGCTTACCGGCATCAACTATGACGAATGGGCATGTGGATTGAAGACGGCTTTGACTTCACGAAAGAAGTTTGGGTTCCTAGACGGATCCATTTTGCGTCCGACAGAAGGTTCACCTGATCTCGAAGATTGGTGGACGATCCAGGCATTATTGGTGTCGTGGATCAAGATGACAATTGATCCCTCCCTACGATCAAACATCTCTCATCGAGATGTCGCAAAAGATCTGTGGGATCACTTGCAGAAGCGATTCTCTGTCACCAGAGGGCCTAGAATCCAACAAATCAAGGCCGAGCTCGCGTGCTGCAAACAGAGAGGCCTTGCTATTGAGACATACTACGGCAAACTGAACAAGATCTGGGATAGCATGGCGTCCCATCGTCCTCAGTGCCTCTGCAAATGTGGGAAGTGCGAATGTGATTTGAGTTCTGTTCTAGAACAGGACCGTGAAGACGACAAAGTGCATCAGTTCCTCTTTGGCCTTGACAACACATTGTTTCGAACCGTGAGATCGAGTCTTGTTTCTCGTCAACCTGTTCAGCCGTTGGAAGAGGTCTACAACATTGTCCGTCAGGAGGAAGACTTGATTTGTAATGGTACGAAAGTTCAAGAAGAACTACCGGAAGTAGCAGCCTTCGCTGCACAAACCAGAACACGCACAAATCTGGCGTTGTGCAAACACTGTAATCGAGCTGGTCATGCCTCGGAGACTTGCTATGCTATCATTGGCTACCCCGAGTGGTGGGGTGACAGACCGAGAAGTCGTACAACACAAGGAAGAGGACGTGGGGTATCCTCTACAGGACGTGGACGTGGTGTTGCTTATGCAAATGCTGTTCGTGTTCCAAATATCAGACAATTTTCTGAACATGCCAACTATGTCCTCACCGACAAGGATCGTGATGGTGTTAATGGATTGAGCGAGGCACAATGGAAATCCCTCGTTGCACTCCTCAATGCTGGCAAAAACACTACATCAGAAACACTCTCGGGTAAGTCTCCTTGTCCTCTCTGGATCATGGATACAGGAGCCACACATCATTTAACCGGAAAGTATGAAATTCTCTCGGATATTAGAGAAATGGCTCCGGTATTAATTATTCTTGCCGATGGTCGTGAAAGAATCTCAACAACTGAGGGTTCAGTTAGATTGGGTTCTGGTTTAGCACTGAAATCAGTTTACTACGTTGAAGATTTCAGATCTGATTTGATATCTGTTGGTCAGTTGATGGATAAAAATCATTGTGTTGTCCAGTTAGCTGATCACTTCCTTGTGGTTCAGGACCGCATTTCGAGGATGGTGATTGGAGCGGGTAGGAGAAGTGGAGGAACATTCTATTTTCGAAACACGGAGATGGCAGCGTCAGTCACAACGCAAGCGGAGAGAGCGTATGAGCTGTGGCATAATCGGATGGGTCATCCGTCTTCAAAAATAGTTCCGAATGTCCACGTTTCTGTTTCTTCTGAAATTTCAAATAAAGTGTGCGATGTATGTTTCCGCGCCAAGCAAACACGTGTTTCTTTTCCAATAAGTGAGAATAAAACATCGACTTTCTCCGACTTGATTCATTGTGATCTATGGGGTCCGTACCGGATTCCGTCGTATTCGGGTGCTCGATATTTTCTTACAATTGTGGACGATTACACACGCAGTGTTTGGCTATATCTCCTAAACGACAAAACAGAGGCTCCACATCAGATCAAGAATTTCATATCCATGGTTGAAAATCAGTTTCAAACGACTATAAAAATAGTGCGTAGTGACAACGGATCCGAGTTCTTATGCCTCACTAAGTTTTTCAAGAGCAAAGGGATTATACATGAGACCTCATGTGTGCGCACACCATAACAGAACGGCAAAGTGGAGAGAAAACACAGGCATATACTAAATGTCGCTCGAACTTTAAGGTTTCAAGCGAAGCTCCCAATTGATTTTTGGGGAGAATGCATCTTAACAGCAGCTTATTTGATCAACCGAACGCCAAGCTCAGTTCTTCATGGCCGTACTCCCTACGAGAAGCTGTATGGAAAGAGTCCATCATATGATCATTTAAGAGTATTCGGATCTCTTTGCTATGCACACAATCAAGGGCATAAAGGAGATAAATTCGTTTCTCGAAGTCGTAAGTGTGTATTCTTGGGTTATCCATACGGCAAGAAAGGATGGAGATTATTTGATTTGGAAGCTCAGGTTTTCTTTGTCTCACGCGATGTGCAGTTTTTTGAAACAGAGTTTCCGTATGCGACACAGCCATCGCTACTACAACATGACAAAGAGAAAGATGATTCACAATGGGCCACTTTTACACAAACCCCAATCATGGAAGAAGAGTTGTTTCAGCCAACAAATAGAAATGTTGTTGGGCCTGGTCCAGAAACAAACTCTAATGATGGGCCTGATCCAGTTACATTATTGGCTCCATCTGATATCGCAAGTTCCTCTTCAACTCCACCTTCATCTCCGATATCAACCCCGTATTCGACACCTACTCCGTCTCCGCCTTCATCTCTAACTCCGCCCCCGACACCAACTCCGTCTCCACCTCAGTCTCCATCACTGCCACCTCCTAATATGGTTGTGAATGACGGTGGTCACCTAGGGCGTGGTCTTCGGAAGAAACTCCCAAATGTTACTCTCAAGAATTTTGTCACAAATCAAGTTTTAAGCAAACCTCTTGAAGCACAAATTGGGAAATCAGCATACCCAATATCAAATTACATTGACAATCGTCGCTTCTCTGCCACTCACCAAGCGTACATGACCGTGATAGCCACTAGCGTCGAACCAAAATCGTTTGCAAAAGCTATGGAAGACAAACGATGGAGAGCTGCAATGGGGACCGAGATTACAGCTCTTGAACAAAACAAGACATGGACTCTAGTAGATTTACCAAGAGGAAAGAAAGCAATCAGCTGCAAGTGGGTTTATAAACTCAAATACAAATCTGATGGCACGCTGGAACGGTACAAAGCTCGATTAGTGGTTCTTGGCAATAAACAAGTCGAAGGGGTCGATTATGAGGAAACATTTGCTCCTGTTGCAAAGATGAACACAGTCCGACTATTTCTCAATGTTGCTGCAGGAAACAATTGGCCTGTTCATCAGATGGACGTTTATTATGCTTTTCTCCACGGAGATCTTGAGGAAGAGGTGTATATGAATTTGCCGCCGGGATTCACCTCCTCTGATAGCACCAAGGTTTACCGACTGAACAAATCTCTATACGGATTGAAACAGGCACCTAGATGCTGGTTTGCTAAACTACAGACTGCTCTCAAAGAATACGGGTTTGCACAATCTCTATCTGATTATTCTTTGTTCACTTATACAAAATCTGATGTTCATCTCAACGTATTGGTCTATGTGGATGATATGATTATTTGTGGGAGTTCTCTCGATGTTATCACAACCTTCAAGA